CCGGGCAGGGATGAGTCAGGGCTGCTTTGGGGTGTAGCTACTGCTTTCATGTGGGAAAAATGCAACCACCAGAAAGCCTGGCCAATGCACTGCAGTGCTGGAAAGCTTTGAACTGCAGCCGGGCACTGCTGAACTGGGCACTGCTGGGAGTGCTTGGGTCTGTTTTGGGTACGGACCCCTGGGAGAGCTGGGGAGTAGCATCTTCTGTGGTTTTTAACCCATTCTGGAGTAGCACGGCCCTGTTCCCTTCTTGTTCACAGTGGTTTGAAGCGGGGGTCCTTGGGGGCCTGCAGTGCCCAGAGCTTTGCTTTGACCAAAATGGGGCAGGGGCTTGGAGCAGTGGGAGCCTCCTAGAACGGCATGCACGGTTCTGCTTCCCACCCAAGGGCTGTTTTTGCATTGTGCATGCCAAGATCGCTGTGTCCTCTGCTGGACAGACAGACGGACGCTTGTTTGCATTCGTGTGCGATGAGCTTCCTCCAGTCCTGGAGATGCACCCTGGGGGAGGGAGCTGATAAGGGAACCCAGAACACAGCCCTATTGTTTGGCCTTGTTTTGCTGTCTGCCCCATCCCAACCCTGAAGTGACAGCAGTGAAGCTTCTGCCGTGGCTTCGCACTGGGCAGGGTGAGGCTGGGGGGTGTCAGGGTGGGGGGACCCCCCCAGTGCTCTCCCAGATCATGATGTCAGCAGCCCCAGAGACTCCAAGCAGGGAGCATGGGTTTGATCAGCACTGATGGCTGTGGGAGCAAAGAGCAGAATTTCCTGGGGAGCAGCACTGAGGGGATCTCTGCCTGCAATGGGGGGTGTGGAGCTCTGCATGGTGCTGACATTTTCCCTGAATTCTCTTACTCTGTGGCCTGTGAATAAAGGCACGCTTGTTAGCTGGCGAGCACTGTGTTTTGCCAAGCAGAACAATACAGAGAAAGATGCCCACAATGGGAAATTGTGCTTCCTCCTCCCCGTGCGTTCCTCGGGGAGGTGTTGAAAAAAATAAAAAGGAAAAAAAGAAAAGAAAAGGAAAAAAAAAAGAAAAAAAAAAAAGGAGAAGAAAACGGGAAGAGACGGGCACAGGGCAGGGAGTGAGAGCACAGCCAACGCTGATCATGGGAGCAGGACGTGGGGCTGCTGGGGCACTGCCTGCCCCAGGATGGCGATGGTGACGGTGACAGCAGTGCTGGCTCACGGGGAGGGCAGGACCCAGCTGGGAGCACCCACAGCTGTCCCTGTGTCCTCGCACCCTGTGTCCCTTCTTCCCAGCAGCATCTCAGCACAGGTTTGAGCTTTCCAGAATCCTTCATCCTGAGATGGGGTGGCTGTGACAGAGCCAGGACGCAGGTGGTGGTGGATGGGCACAGCAGCTCCCCTGGGGACGGTAAGGAGAGATGGGGACTGGTGGTGGTGGTGGTGGGAGAGGGGGCTGCTCTTGCCTCGCTCTGTGCTTGGCACCTCTCAGATCATTGGTGTCCTGTGTGATGCCCACTTTGCAGGGCAAACATTGAGATGGTTGCTGCCCATGCTCCTGCTGCATCCCCCGGTCTGTCCTGCTGCGTGGTCCTGATCCCCTCACTCCCCCCAGGCTTTCTCCAGTCCCCAGCTCTAAAGATGCACTGGGTTCTGCTCGCATCCCTCTGGCTCCTGGCTGCATCCCCCACGTTCAGCATCTTCCAGAAGCCAACAGGGAGCCCTGGTAGGGAGCGGGGATGGGGACAGGACACTGCTGCTTGGGGACGGTGTTGGGAGGTTTGTGCAGGGGCTGGGATGAGCATCCTGGAGGCTGCAGCAGCTGGGATAGTTGCTGGAAACCAGGCTGATGAGGGTGGTGGGGAGGTGCTGAGGGGCAATGGGGCTGTGGCAATGCCTTGAGGTGAGCCGGTGCCCCGCAGCCACCCCACGCCTGCAGTACCTGCTGGAGCCCCTGCACACTGCAGTGCACACACAGCGAGGTGCCACGGCCACGCTGCCCTGCGTGCTGCGCGCCCTGCCCCGTAACTACCGTGTGAAGTGGAGCAAAGTGGAGCCAGCCAACTATGGGGAAAACGTTATCATCATCACCAACGGGCTGTACCACAAAAACTATGGGCCGCTGAGCCCCCGCGTGCGCCTGCGGCACAGCCACCGCTATGATGCCTCGCTCACCATCACCGATGTCACCTTGGAGGATGAGGGACGCTACCGCTGCCAGCTGGTCAACGGGCTGGAGGATGAGAGCGTCTCACTCACGCTGCACCTGGAGGGTGAGGGATGTAGGGAGGATGGGGAAGTTCCAATGTGTCCCCATTGCAAAGCCACTTGCTCCAGACTCCTGCTCAGCACCAGGTCCCTGGGGCAAGAAGCCAAACCTCCATGGTGAGAGCGTTTCCTTCCCCCTCCGTCCCTCTATCCCTGTCCTCCAGGTGTTGTCTTCCCCTACCAGCCCATCAATGGGCGCTACAGATTCAACTACCACGAAGCCAAGCGTGCATGTGAGCAGCAGGATGCCCGGCTTGCCACCTACCAGCAGCTCTACAAAGGTACTATCCTGCAGCATCCCAAATCCTCCCCTTGTCCCAAACCTGCCTTGCTGGTAGGGGTGATGCTGAGGTGACCAGGCTTCCTCCCATGCTGCCATCCCCATCCTTTCTATGCCCCACATTGTCCTTATGGGATGCTGAGGTTCTGCCCACCCCACAGCTTGGATGGAGGGCCTGGACTGGTGCAACGCGGGCTGGGTGCTGGATGGCACCGTGCATTACCCCATCATCAACTCACGGGAGCCATGTGGCGGCCGCCTCCTGCTGCCAGGCATCCGCAGCTATGGGGCCAAGGACAAGCAGCGGGACCGCTTTGATGCCTTCTGCTTCACCTCTGCACTGCAGGGTACCTCCAGCATCCCCCAGCCCTGTGTGGTGACACTGGGGCTGCTCACGGAGTCATCACCCTCCATTATTTCCCACCCATCCCCAGGTGAGGTCTATTTCATCCGAGGCCACCTGAACTTCAAGGAAGCCGGGCAAGCGTGCCGCAACCACGGTGCTACCATTGCTAAAGTGGGGCAGCTCTACTCTGCGTGGAAGTTTTTGGGGCTGGATCGCTGTGACGGGGGGTGGCTGGCAGATGGAAGCGTGCGATACCCCATCACCACCCCCCGGCAGCGCTGTGGGGGTCTGCCAGAGCCTGGTGTCCGCAGCTTTGGCTTCCCCAGCAAGGAGCTGCGGACCTACGGCACCTACTGCTTCGTGGGGACATAGGAGAGGTGGGCAGAGGCAAAGGGGTGGCACCGGCTCTCATCACCTGAGTGGAGAGCTCAAGGTGGGACAGGGGTCTCTGGGGCATTGTGGGTGGTGCTTGCATCCTCTGATGGAGTGATGAGGCTGAATTTGGGGGAATTTGTGCATCCTCTGATGGGGCCGAATGTGGAGGGTTTGTGCATCCCCTCTGACAGGGCTGAGTCTGAGGGGGTTGTGCATTTAATGGAGCTGCTCCCCGCACTCAGCTGCCTCAGAGTTTTGTAGGCATTCAAGGCTTGATGGAGAATCCAGAACCATTTCCAGCCCAGGAATTGAGGGGGTCTGGTCCAGTCCCAGTGGGCACGGCAGGGCCCTCCAACCTTGGTGCACCCCCGGCTCTGGTCTCGCTTCCTTCAGCCATGCAGACTTTGGCTGGTGCAGGCATGCTGGAGAGCCAGGCATTAACGAGTGTGACTAATGGAGTTTCGCTTTCTCAATTAATAAAGCGACAGTAAAGCGGCCGCTGGGACTCAGTGAGGGGGGCTTGCCAAGGACTTAAGCATTCCCCCCACAGTGTCCTGGTGTTATCGGTGTCCCTGGCACCAAACTCAGGGGTTTCTGGGTTTGTGATACAGCTGGAGAAAACAGTGTGGGGGCACATCAACATGGGGACACTTTGGGCTGCTCCTCCCTGTGCCTGTGGCTCAGGGGCCACTGCTGTGCCCAGGCTGCTCCAGCATTGACCTGGTCCCCATAGCTCCATTGTGCATCGCCCACTCCCAGTTCTGAGGTCTTTGCCTCTCCCACCCATGTGCTTGCTGGCACACCCCTCAGTGCCATCCATTTCCTTGCTTTCATTCTACAGAAACATGGAGGGGGCTTGAGATGCACGCACCCAACAGTGTGACCATGTCCAGGACACAGCCTCAGTGCTCCCATCCCCATGCTGTTGTCTCAATACAAAAGGGGGGAAGCAGCAGCTGGAGGCGATGCTGCCATGTCCAAGCTGATACCTGCCTTTGCACTCCCACCATCTTCTCCTCCTTGCTTTTGACTCTGTTGCCATTCCAGGACTCAAACAGCCCCAGTGCAAGGTGAGACACCACACGAGTTGCTGGCAATTCCTTTTGAGGGACTCTTTAGTTGTTGGGGTTTCTTTGTACAGATATAAAACAAGCAGAGGGCAGGCACCCACCAGGGCACCTCTTGCCCTCCAGGGCTGCACTGCCATCCCAGTGACATCCCCATCCATGCCAGCTCCGGGGCCTGGGAAGGTGACAGCTCACTCAGTCCTCGGAGTGCTGGGCCAGCCCTGGGGGGACACGGGAAGCAAAGAGCCGCAGTGAAGGGCCATCCACGAGGGGAGGTGTGGGGATGCAGGGAGCTGAATGCTCACCGGGGCGGCAGGAGAGCTGGGGCCGTTCCCAAATCCCATCCTCACGGCAGCGGATGATGGGGGAGCGGCGCGGGGCGAAGCCGTGGCGGCAGTGGTAGCGCGTGATGGAGCCGATCTCGTAGCGCTGCTTTGGTTTGCCGAAGGCTCGGGCGTTGCTGACAGTAGGGGGGGGTCCGCACTGCACTGTGGGGTGGAGGAAGAGGGTGGGCATCCTGGCGCTGCGCTGAACCCCGCTGCCTCACCACCAGCTCCCACCCCAACCCCAGGTGAGCTGAGAGCAGTCAGAACCTTTATTTCCCAGCTTGCTGGGTTGGGTACGTGGCTTACCCAGCCCCATTTTGCAGGTGTAGGAGAGGTGGTAGTTGCAGGGGACATCGCTCCACTGTCCCCCGTCGTGCCACACAATGACCACGCAGTTCTCACCGGAGAGAAAGTAGCTGTCGGGCTGCCCCGGGTGCCAATTCTCATAGAGCTGGGGAGCACAGAACGGGCTGGGGCTGCGCTGGCACTTTGCATTGTGTCCATGCCATGATGCCCCATCTCCGTGCTGCTGGTTCAGGCACCCTAAATCACACGGTGCTCATGCCAGTGGCTTCAGCTGAGGCTTCAAAACCTGGGACCCATCCCAGGGGATGGAGAAGGACCGCGAGGTGCGGTGGGGATGGGAAGGGGAGGGGGGGGGATTGGCTGCACGGCTTACCAGAGGGCTGCCGTCGGACCACTGAAAGTCCCCCTCGATGGTGCGGTCGTTGAGGCCGATCCATTGATACTCGCGGTACTGTTCTGGGGGCAGAGGTGGGCTTGGGGGGCTCCGCCATCCCCTGGCACCCGTCAGGGCGGAGAGTTTGGGGGGTCGCCGGGAGAGGGCAGCAGAGCCCCAGTGTCCCCACGCCTGTCCCTGGTGTCCCCGCGTCCTTTCCTTCTCCTGCACCGCCCCGCTTCCCTGCTGTCCTTTCTACCAATTAATCCATCCTATTGCCAATATTTCCTTTCCCCTTTTTCCCTTTTCCCTCTTTTCTCTTTTCTCTTTTCTTTCCTCTTTCTCCCTTCCTTTCCACTTTCTTTTCCCCTTTTTATAAAAACATTTGTGATGGTGTCTGCCCATCCAGCTGCCTTTTCCAGTAGAGGGAGAGGAGCTTTGTCTCTGCTTTGCCCCTTGGCCAAATTTTGGCTCAGTCTTCAAGCCTCAGACCCACAGTGGAGGGATGCTGGGTCCCATGCCCACGCAGGCTGGAGTGGCCCCACGTACCGTTGATGAAGTCCTGCTCCTCGGGGGTCAGGATGGTGGCCAGGTGCCCCCCAAAATGTCTGCACTGTGACTCGGCGTCCTCCCAGCTCCTCCGGGTGGAGAAGTGCTTGTAGCAGGCTCCCTGGAAGCTGTCCCAGCTGGGGCTGCACCTCTTCAGCGCTGAACCACAGCAGGAGACAAGGGGGGAGAGAGGACAGGGTCAGCACTGTGGAGCTCAGCTCATGAGCAAGCCAAAAAAACACCCAAACAGATTTCTGTGCACTGATGCCTGCAGGACCATGGGCTGTGTGACCCTGTGGACTCACGTCTCTCGCAGCTGCTCCCTCCGTAACCTGGCAGGCAGAGGCAGGTGGGATGGGTGCCATCCTCAATGCAGGTCCCTCCGTTCAGGCAGGGGTTGGGGATGCAGCCACCTGCAAGGCACGGGCAGCCCTGCTCACTGCATGCCCCTGAGCTGCCCCTCAGCCCTTGGATGGATGCACAGCATCTGGGGCATGGTGGCACGCCTGGAGCCATCCCATCTTCCTGCACTGGATAGGTTTGAGGCTTTGGCATGTCCCCAGACTCAGCTGGACACTGCTAGAGTGTGCCGTGGATGTGGATGAGTCCTGCTGCCCCCAGAGCGGAGCAACAATGGCTCTCTTGGAGGGAACATGAAAGGATAAGCCCTTGACATGTCCCAGACACACGTCCTCAGCCTGGCAGCAAGGCGAGCCTCGTGCCTGTCCCCAGCCTCATTGCTGTCACCTTCAGCCTGCCCAAGGCTGAGAACTCAATGGTGCCATCCTTGACCTGCAAAACCAGCACCAGCCCGTTCCGGTCATTAAGACACACAGTCATTAATCCGTCCCCAGCTCAAGAATGTGATTTAGGGCTGTCGCCAGCGCCGGCAGCACAGGCAGTGCAAGTCCTTGGCACTATCCAATGGCCCTGTGCCCTCGCTTGCCCCAGACAGCATCACCTCCCCGCCTGCAAGGACACGCAGACATCTCCAGTGGACTGCAGCAGGGTGAGAAATGAACTATTTAAGGCTTGGGCACGTCCAGCTCTTTGGGAGCATATCTCTTCTTGCCAGGACACACACATCCACACTGCAAGGTGCTGAGCAGCACCCATGCTGGGGGGGGGTGAAGAAAGGAACCCCAGCGAGGCTGTCCCACAGAGACAAGGGGCAGCAAGATGAGCAGGAGTTTGATTGCAGAGCTGAGAGCATCCCGGCTTAGGAGCCAAGAGGAATTTTGTCTTGGGGTCACGGGGTCACTGCTCATGCACCCACCACCCTCCTGCAACGAGTGAGCTCCATCTCAGACCCTGGTGCTCACCTTAAGGCTGTGCACCCCCAGAACACCCAACACCCCACAGCTCTGCACGACACTCAGCTGCGTGCACCATGGGGATGCTCCAGGGACAGCTCACACCATGCTGAGCTCCAAAGGCCCTCATCCCTCTGGGGCCCGGGGGGATTAGTTCGTCAGTGGGGATGCGAGCGAGGCAGCGGGCGCAAGGATGAAGGGAAGAGCTAGCCGAGGTGCGTGTTCTAGAAAGCTTTTAATTCCCTTTATTAGTACCACTGTTAGTCAGAGGAGGGTTTGGGGCCTTCTTTTGTTAGATTTGTTTCTTTTTTTTTTTTTCTTTTTTTTCATGGAAACAGTCATTAAAACACTTCACAGAAGTAGAAGAGAATTAAGTGCATGCATAGCTCAGACCAATTTGTTTGACAAATATGTGCTTCTCCGGACCTTTGACCTTCCCTTACCCAGCCGAAGAGAGGAGGAGAGACAGACAGACAGAAGGACAGACAGAGAAGAGGAAAGCACAGTGCAAAGGAAAGGTGCTGCCGCTCCCTAGTGCCAGCGTGCAGCCAGGAGCGCTGCCCCAAGTGCAAAAATGACACAGTGCTGGGGACCCCTGGCCAGGCTTGCACCTGCACCCAGGCTGGCACGCTCCGTGGGCAGGGCGGGCAGTGGGGCGGCCGAGCTGGGTGCTGGGGACAGCCTGGGGGGCCCAGCATGGGGAGAGGTGAGGCCGTCCCTGTTGGTCCCACCTGGTTCTCCGGGGACAGCTGCAAGGAAACCCTCCACGGTTGCAACAGAGGGCATCGGACGCTCTTCTTCATCCTCCTCTTCCTCATCCTCCTCCTCTTCTGAAGATGCAGCGGGCATCCCATGATCAGTGCTTGGGGTTTGCAGTGCATCGCTGCTGCTGGGCACCTCTGCGTGCCATGGGGTGACCGCCGTTGCCGGGGCTGTGCCCCCATCCCCTGGTGCTGTGGGTGAGGAGAGCCACGGGGCCCCCGACTGCTCCTCTCCATCATCCTGCAGCTGCGGCGGTGCGGGGGGCAGCGGGGATGCCCCAGGGTTTTCGGTCACATCTCCTGACAGTTCAGGGTCCTCAGCAGCCCCTGCAGTGTGGATGGGGGTGCTGGTGCCCCCGGCCCCACGGCTGCCTATGGAGGGGGATGGCTCTTGCATATCTGTCGAAGTGACAAAAGTGGCGCTGGTCGGAGGTGTCACCTGGCTGTCCCTGTGCCCAGATGCCCTGCCGTTGTGGGCTGGCCGCCCCACAGCTTCCCACAGGTGGATGGGGAGGCACGTGGGGACAACGGGGCCAGGTGGCTGGGGATGCCCATTGGATGGCTGTGTGTCACCTGCTGCAGCCACCGCTGGGGACAGGGCGTCACTGGGTCCTTCTGTGCCCACCAAGAGTGTCTGCACATTCGGCTTCATGGGCTGTCCAGGCTCTTGCCCTCTGCCTGGACTCTCTGCTGCTGTGTTCCCGGAGTCCTCACCCAGCACGGAGCTCAGCTGCCATTCCAGTGCTGCTCCATCTTCTGCAAGGGGCAAGGAAAGGCAGTGAGACACCCACAGCAGGAGCCAGCCAGGAACCAGGCACTGGCATTGCCGGCAATGAGCAGAGCTGAAGGGAAAATGTTGGCACAGTGATGCCTGAGGAGACAGAAACAGCCCCAGGTCTGGTGATGCTTTCCCCTCTGAACCAGCCCCATGCTCCAGCTTGGCCATTGCATTCTCCTGTCCCACGGCATGTCTTTGCTTGGCCCCTTGCCACTTCTTGGCACAAATACAGCATGGTTTGGCACTGGCCCTGCCCACTGCACCCTGCTGTTCCTGGCCACAGGATGGACAGACAGACAGCTGCATGGCAGGGACAGACCAACAGCCCCATGCCTGTCACCACCACACCAAGACACCGGCACCATGGCCATGGGTGCACCCTCGGTGAGATGGCATTGGACAGCTCTGTGCCTGCGTACCTGCTGCTGCTCTCTGCACCCCAGCCCTGAGCACTGCTGGACCTACCCGTGCGGGATGGCTCTTGCCTGGCCTCTGTGCACCTTCCACCTGTCCCTGTCGCCTCGTCCTGGTCTGCAGGGGACGGGCTGCCTGGTTGTGCAGCACAGCTATGCGGGATGCCTGCCTTGGGGACGGCTGGGGCTGTGGGGAAAGGGGCAGCCGAGGATGGGTGATGTCCTCGTGCTGAGGACAAGGAGGTATCTATTGGGGGGTGCCGGGTGTCTTCGGGGGACAGGCTTGGCTTTTCCAGCTCAGCATCAGCCACATCCTTAAAGAAAGGGACGGCGTATATAGCCCCTCGCGACTCAATCTCCACTTGCGCTTTGGGCAGCTGCAGCTCCTCCAGCTTTTCTGCCACTGTAACAATCTCCTGGAGGCCCTCGGGCTCTCTGGCTTGATATTTTCCTGCAGCCTCAGGGAAAGAGTTTGTCCCTTCTGTGGGCAGAAAGAAAGTGGGGTATTACTGCCTTGTCCTGGCCCTGTGGCAGCTGGGGACAACCTGGGGGACCCCTGTGCCCCGGCTGAGCTGGGTTGTTAGTGGGTTATGCAGTACAGCACTGCGAGATGGGTCCATCCTGCCTAGCTTCATCCGTGGAGACAATGGAGAATACACTGAGAAATGGGGAAACTGAGGCACAGAGGCATGCAGCGGATGGTTGGTGGGAGCACAAGCCCCAGGGGTGCTCAGGTAAGTGGGAATGGGAAGAATCTGTGCCTGTTATCCCTGTGAGCCTCAGTCCTCACACACGTGCTACTGTGTGCAGGGTGCCCTCAGCACCCAGTAGCTCACTGCCTCTGTTTCATTTCCTATCCAAGGTAATAAATAGACCTTACAGTCCTGGCAGGCTGTGCCCAGCAGCCTACAGAGAACCCCAAAATGCCTTCAACATCCACACAGGGGCGAACTGTCCTAGAGCCGTGCTCCTGCAGCCGGCTCAGCCCCAAGGTGAGGGCTCATGGCATCGACCTGGGACAGGTGATGTGCCCAGAGCCACCCTGAGCTCACACGGACAGAGACATCCCTGCCCTACTGTGCTACAACAGCATGCAATACTGAGGCCAACCTTGCACTATACTGCCATGCGCTATGCAGACCATGCAGAGCATCCATCCTCTATCACGACGTATCAGCATGCAGTATTGAAATCATGCGGGTTATTCCACACCTATCAAGATATATTGGCATGCAACATTGAGCTCATGCAAAGCATCCCTGCTCTGAGTTGGCATGCTCTACTGCAGATATGCAGAACACCCCTGCTCCACAGCGATAGGTCGGCACGGTGAGCACGTAGGGATCTCTATTCAGTCCCTGCTTCGTGCATCCCAGAGCCCAACACTAAACCTTGGGGCCGTGGTGCCCCTGGTTACCTCGGAAGCAGTACGCATCGTATCTGCTCTGTGCATCGGGGAATCCCGTCTGGTTGCGAAACTGGAAGATGGTTTTGACACCCGGCAGGGCTCCTCCGCAGCGCTCCCGCGGGGTGACGATGGGATAGCGGACGCTGCCATCAGCCAGCCAGCCCGGGTTGCAGGCATCCAACCCTGCACTCCAGGCTGCGTACAGCTGTCCTGTGCTCGCCAGCACCGCACCCTGCGCCCGGCACCGCGCCACCGCCTCCTCCAGGGTAAACTTGTCCGGGGCCGTCTCCAAAAATATTTCCCCTGCAATGAAAGGAAGGAAGCAGGCATCAGGAAATGGTTCAGGGACGGGGAGAGGGGTGGATGTGGATCTGTCCTTGCACATGGGGCAGGGACAAGCATTGAGCCACCTGCTCAGCTCTCCTGAGCTCTGCCCGTAGCTTGCTGCACAGGCAAACTTTCCAAAAGAAAAACGTGACTGATGCAGGTGCTGCTGATTCCACCTGGCAGTGGATTCCATGCCACGTAGAGTGCATGAGCAGCAGGGTAGCAGGTATGTGACACACAGGGACAGCCCGAGGTCAGCACTGCTCCCCAAGAAGTGGAAAGCATCAGTGGTTTACTGTGGCAGGTCAGCAAGGCAGCTCTGCAAAGGGTTGCAGAGAAGCAAGTCTGTGCCCTCTACGGAGCACTGCACATTTGGGACATTGCTAAGGGAACTGGGTGACAGCGCTGGGCTGTGAAAAGGAGGTTGGACATGGAGCACCACAGGCACCTGGCACGTCCTCAGCATAACAGTACACGTCGTACATGTCCTCCGGGTCCACCACACCGTAGTTCCTCACCCCTGGGAAGCCATTCATGTCTCCATAGCACGCCTCGCGGGGAGTGTGGATGGGGTACCTGGCAAAGCAGAGGGGAAGAATGATGGTGGCTGTGGTGGCACAGGGGAGTCAGTGGGTGTCAGAAACATGCCATGGGGTGCTCACCTGACGGTCTGGTCAGCGATCCAGCCAGCATCACACTGCTCGTAGCCGCCCAGATAGGCAGCATACAGCTGCTCAGGGGTGGCAATGCTGGCACTGATGGCAGTGCACGCCTCCTGCGCCTCGGCAAAAGTGTAGGTGTAGCGCGTGGAACCCCCACGGTAGTGAAACACCACTCCTGCAGGGAGGCACAGGGTGAGGAGCCGGGAGAGAGAATCCAGGCAGGGTCCCCCAAACCGTGCTGCTCCCTTTCCTGCGTGTACCTTTGACTCTGAGGTCGAGGATGTCGTGGCCGTCCTCGATGCCATGCTGCACATCACAGCGGTAGATCCCCGAGTCGTTGGGGCGCAGCTCAGTGAGCAGCAGAGAGGCGTCAGTGTAACGCTGATGGAAGACGGGCAAGGAGGCACGGAGGCGGTAGTCCTCACTCACCTTCACCCTTTCCCCCCGTGCTACCAAGATCTCCGCCTCCCTGCCTTCAGAGATGAAGGTCCACTTGACCCGGGGGGCTCCCAGCACTGCCCGGCGCCCTGCCGTGCTGGCAGTGGGCAGGGGTGCGAGGTAGGTGATGAGGCAGGGGATGGTGACATCCCCTGCCAGCACAGCGTGAAGGGCTGGGTGCCGTGGGATGGACACCTGCAGGGCCTTGAGGTCATCTGGGGGAAGAAGAGCAGAGTGATGAATGGGGCTGGCATGTGAACCCCCCTCCTCCTCCCCAGGATACTGGCTACAGTGTGAGGATGAGCACAGCTGGGGCTGTGTTACCTGTGACATCTTCAGGACTGAGCACCTCCGGGACCACCGTGGGGGCAAACGCCCAGAGCAGCAGCAGAGGGAGAACTGAGGCCATCCTGTGCCCTGTGAGGGAGTACAAAATCTAGCAGAGGTCTTGAAGTGGAAAGAAGCATTATAAACTCCAGCTCTCTGCACGAGGGAGGACTGGGAGAGACTGGTGCCTGCATGCACGGGGTGATGCACAAAGGCATCAGGGTGAGAGCATGCAGCCAGCATGGACCCTGGATGGCAGAAAGGAGAGGGAGCAGAAGGAAATGTGCGGATGTGCCCTGGGAAGCAGGAGGACTGCAGTGCCTCAGCTCAGTGCCCAGGGTCCAATCCAGCCCCAGGGAGAGGGGTCCTCTGGGGACAGCAGATCTGAGAACAGCATGGAAAGTCTGAGCGCACAGCCAGGCAGGAGGAGATGCCAGAGCTGGGCTGCAGATCTTGAGACACCGCAGTCAAAAACCTCAGAGGAGATTGTAATAGCTGGTGTTGAGCAGGGTTGAAGGAATGAGCCATTGAGCCCTGGCTCATGATGCGAGAGTGTGAGTGCGTGCATGCAAGCTGGGCTTTTGGGTGTGCATGCAGGCATGTGCATGCATTGCAGCTTGTATGTCCACTGCAGCATGCGTGTGCACGTGTCTGGGCATGTACATGTGTTTGTGAGTGTGCTTCCACACGTGTGGCCAGGGGGGTTCAGCTGGAGATGGGGATGCTGAGGGTGCACAAAGCACGGGGCAGTGGGGGAGGGACGGAGCAGGAGGGCTCCTCGTTGCCATTCAGCTCACGCCGGAGGTTTCCCGCGCACAGGCTGGGAAAACCAGGGCTGAGTAAAGCAGCCATTATGTCCCAGGTCTCTCTCAAGTCTGCCTGGCACAAAGGGCTCTCCCCCGCCGGCTGAGGAGCAGCTCTGAAAGGAGAGCCCAGCAGCTAGCACGGCTGTCACCAGCCCCACAGAGCAGCACCGGGGACACTGGGGATGTCACGGAGGAGCTCCAGCCATCTGGAGGGGACATGGAGAGGTCCCTGCATGGTGCATAGCTCTGCAGGATAGCGTGGCCCCATGCACTCCTCTGCAGGGGCCCGTTGGGGCTTAGTGATTTCCTCGGCCCTGGACTGGTGGGCAGCTACCCTGAGCCTCAGAGTGCCTTTGAAATTTATGAGCTCTTTGTGCTGCATTGATTTTGGCAGCCACTGAAGCAGATTTGGCACCTCTGTGGTGAGCTCTGGCCCAGGTCGCAGGCTGCCAGGGCCAGGCTGAAGGGAGGCTGTCCTGGAGCTGCATCTCTCTGCAAAGGATGCTCCCCGAGAACATCATGGGGCCAGCGTGCCAGGGAGTGGTGTGAATACAGCCCAAGAACCAAGGGCAAACAGCCCCAAGCACTACGCACAAACACCTCCTAGCACCGTGCACCATGCTTGCACAGCCCCGAGCACCATGCACTGTGGATAAACAGCTTCTTGCATCATGCACCGTGGATATACAACCCTGAGCAGCATGCACCATGCATGTACAGCCCCTAGCACCATGCACTACACATGCATGTCCCCTAGCACTGCACACCACACACCCATCCCTTTCCATCCAGTACATGACCAGTGCCGCCAGCACCAAGCTGGGGGCTTTCCCAGCTCTGGATGGATCATTGGAATTCAGCCCCATGGAGCAGAGTGAGGGACAGCCCCCTGTGTGTGGTGGCTGCGGCTGGGCTCCAGCGTGGCACTGGCACTGTGACCCCCAGGCACTTTTTGTCCCAGGCTCTTTTCTTCCTGTTCCCCAGGCGCTGCAGTGGTACAAGCAGTGAGCAGCCATGAAGCCTCAACAGGAAATTTAGGGGCTTAAAGCTGCATGAGTGCAGCAAGATGGAGTGAGCGGGGGGCTGCTCCCCTCCTGTGCCCACCCATAGCTGGGACACCCAACACACTGGACTGGGGCTCCATAGGGGTTAAATCCAACTCACCCTGCCCACGGGAGTCCTGTGATGGCAGGACTCTCAGGCGTCACTGTTTGAGGTTTGGGGTTTGGGGTTGGATATGTATTTTTTTCCTATTATTTGCCACAAATGGAATTTTTTTTAGCCTTCACAAGAGAAAGGCTGGGAGCAGGAGCAAGGGAAGGCAGCTAAAGGGAAAGTGAGAAGCCGGAGCAGGACTGGGTTGGCTCTGAGCTCCAAGCCACAGGGATGGGTGGGATGCTCACGTGCACACTGACTGCCTCCATTTCCCTGGGAAACCAGGTGGAAAATGAGCCGAGGTATTTTGGGATGAGAGCAATCTTTCTTTTTCTTCCTCCCCTGAGCTCACTCTAATTTAAGCCACAGCAAAGCACGAGTGATGCTGCAAGCGGGGGTCCCGAGTCCCTTCCTCTCCGCACCATCACAGAGAAGCCTTCCCAGGTTGTCCCATCCCCATGCAAAGCCCCTCTGTCCCTGCACGTGACAACTTTGTCCCTGCTCCCAAGGTGCCCTGCCAGCCCATAGCGCAGCTGATCAGCGGCTTTCCAGGGATGCTCAGCTGCAGAATGAGTCAGCAGCCACAGGCAGAGCCTGGCCCTGCTCCAGTCTGCCCCGTCCCCCCCCAGCTCTGGGCTGCAGGTGCCCCAATGTTCCCATGCACGTGCCTGTCCCCTTCTGAAGCTGTCCCCTCCTTGCTGCAAACTGCCTCTGCTTCCTGCACCACCAACAAAACAGGGGGACCCACCATACTGGGAGGGGGGTCACAGCAGTGAGCCCCCCACGTGCTGAGCACAGAGGATGCTGCGGGAAGCACCCAGCAGCCTCTTGGCAGCAGCTGCTGGCAGAGCATAAAAGGCCGGAAGCAGGTGGGAGTGGGGGGGAGGGGGGTCCTTTGGCTGCCAGAGCTGCTCACCCCCCCCCCAAACCCATGTTGGAGAAAGGGGCTCCTTGTTGCTGGGCTGGGATGTGCCCCCATTGCACAGGGAAGAGCTGTGTCCCATCCCCAAAGCCTCATGGAACTGCAAAGGGCAGAGCTGGGCTGGTGGACCCCAGAGGGACCCCACAGCCACTTGGGCATGGTACACACATCCATGGAGCTTTGCACACCCACCCACTGCTGCATGGCTCTGGTGGGAAAACTGAGGCATGGGTTGGGGTGTGGTGGAGGAGAAGGTGCCCCAGATTTCGGCAGCGCAGCCTGGCCCCTCAAATCCACCTTCCAAGCACAAAATCACAGCACTACAATGAAGTGCTCAGGCTCTCAGTTTGCCCAGTCCAAGCCCATTCCCTGCAAAACACCCCCAGATGCCCTGAGCACCATCACCCTGAGCTGCACGGGGTGGGCAAGGACTTGCCCGGGGGGGGCAGCAACCCCTGGACTGAGCCCCTCATGCAGAGAGGTACTGGAGCAAAGGGGCAGAAAGGGTCTTTCCCACCCCTCCGTCAGCTGAAGAAGCAGCAACAGGTTCTTGGTTTGCCTGGGCTCTTCCCAGCTGGGGAGCACTGAGGGCTCAGTGGGATGCTCAAGGGGAGCACCTCCATCCCAGAGAAAAAACACTGTTTCTGCAGGAGGGCAGGGGGTGCACATCAAAGTGTCCCAGCCCTGGGCACACACACAGACATTCTGGGTTTGTTCAGCAGGGAAAAGCAATGAAAACCCCACAGAAGGTTCCCTTTCTTTTTTGCCCAGCCCTTCTTGCCACCCTTGGGACAGCAGCAGAGCTGAGGGAAAGAGCTGGGAGCCAATGGGAAAATCCTGTGATGCTGTGCAGCCCTGCTCTCCCTTAGCCCCCGTGGTATGGGGCAACTTCAGCCCCTACGCCTTCCCCCCCCACCCCCCCAGCTCTGTTCCTCATTTTCCCTTCTCGGTGTTGTCCCGATTGCATCCTCCTTAGGATAAGGACCTGTCCCTGGTGGCTGAGCAAGGAATGGGCTCCATGCCGGGACCTGCAAGCCCCAATCCCCACTAGCATCAATCCCAAAGTCACTTTCCCACCTCAATCCTCAAGCACTTCCCCCCTCCCCCCCCCTCCATTCCTGCTCTGCAGAGCCGGCGCCACCTGAAAGAAACTTGCAGAGCTCTGCCAAGGACAAAGCGGGGACCGGTGGGAGCATCCCTGCTGGACATCCAGGTCATCCCCAGCAAGCAGGGAGAGCTATGCCCACCCCCCAAACACACCACCTTCCCCTTACTTTCTGCTGGCACAGAGGTGACATGAGATATCGCCATGAATAGCGCAGTACAGCCCGCAGGAGGGGCTCTCCCCGTGTCCCACCTTGCTCACGGTGCGGGCGGGGGTCCCCGGGGGCCCGGCTTGGGGCTGAGCTGAGGTTTCTCCGGGGTAGAAGTAGGCAGCAGGTTGGCAGCGGGGTTGGAAGTGAGCTGCACCGGGCATAAGTGCAGGCACCGAAAGAAGAGGAGTCCTCTGTGTGTGTCCGTGTCCGCGTCTCTCTCTCTCTCTCTCTTTTTTTTTTTTTTTTTCTTTTAATCCTTCCTCTTTCCCTCCTCCTTTTATATTTTATTCCTTCCCCTAAGTAAGAAAAAAAAAAAAATTATTACCGTGTTGGCTGAGCGCGTTGTCCCTCCCCGTCCCTCCCTCCTGGCAAAGGCAGCACGAGACCCACGCCGCGGCTGCTCCAGCTGGGCACGATGTTAACCCAATGCAGCAGAGCCGAGCAGCTGGGAAGGGACAACCTATATTCAGACCTCTTTGGCATCGGGATGCACTTTGAGTACTTATTTCCGACATTGGGCACCTCCGGCAGGATGCGGAGCGGGGGGGGGGCGTTCTGTGAGGAGGGGTCCTGCAGCTGGTGGAGCTGTGGCTTTGTCATGCAAAACCCCCTCTGCCAGCTCCACTGCCGTCCCCATGTGCTGGAGGCACTGGAGTGGGACCGCGGTTTTCACCCACCCCGAAGGGAGAAGAGAAGCTGAGAGCTGACATCCTGGCAGACGCCGTGCCTCAGTTTCCCCATCTGCAGCCAGTGATGGGATGGGAGGGACGTCTCTATGGGATAACAAACGCATCTCTGAGTCTGGTGGCTCGCACCAAGACCCCGATCCTCCTCTCTGAGAGGAATGCAGCAGATGAAGGGCTGAGTCCTGGGCACATCAGGGACAGGGTTTACCTCCCTGTGGCGGAGCTGAGCCCTGAGAGCCGATATTGCAGCTTTTTTAAGCAAATTGAGCACAAACTTTCTCTAGCTTACAGCATCCTCCACCCTGGGGAAGCCAGCACGGCGCCTGCCGGATAATTGCTCGGGTGAGTTTGCAGAAAGCCGCAGCTCCTGAGCAGAATTAATCATTTGTCACCCTGGGAAATAATTACACGCGGCGGAGAAGGTCTCGTTAGCGGCGCAGTCCAGCAGGCGATGCACACCGCAGCATGGCACATGGTTGGGATGCACACCAGGATGGACATGAGGACAGATATAGGGATGGATGCTGGGATGGGCAGGGGGGAACGTGTCTCCCCACCCCCCCCAGCCCCAGACCTGCGGCTGCTCCATCCCATAAGCCCACATCCTGCACCCGGGACTTTGTGGCAAAGCACTCAGGGATGAGGAAGAGGCAAAGCGCCTGTTCAGCAAGGAGAGATCTCATCCTAATTGGGAACAAATGTTCCTCGCCGGCTCAGCAGAGCAGCTCCTTCATGCTGCCCAAGGGGCCACTGCTCTGCCTGTCCCTCCTGCCCTCTGTGTCCTGACTGGGGGGGGGGAATGGGGAGAACAGATCCAGGGACAGCTGGCATCTCGAAGGCAGAGGGGTCAGGGCAAGGTAGCAGCAGGGCACAACCTTTATCAGCCATCAGAGAATCCCCACCTGCTGCTCAGCCCCCTCCACCTCCCACCCCAGGTGATGTCATGGCCCTGCTAGCTCATCTCATTGTCCCAACAGCAGTGGCGCCATGGGGGACCTCATCCAACAAGCACATCTCCCTTGGCCACAGGCAGTCTCCAGCTGCATCCCCATGCCCAGCTGTGTTTCTTTCTCCTCCTCCTCCTCCTCCCCCTGGGGCCCTGCTCGAAGCCACGTAGCAGCACCCTGTGCCAATCCCACTGGCACCTCATAGGGCACTGGGATGGCACGCACTGCTGGGGGCTGTGAGTTTGTGTCACCCCCAGACCTCCTGCCACCAAACAGTCATCCCAAAGCATCCTGCAGAGGGAACCACGTCCCCATCCGGGGGTCCCAACCCCAAGCATCCTCCAGTGACATACGGTTGCCCCCATCCCAAGCAGGTGCTGACCCTGACACAGATGTCCTCATCCTGGGGCTTCCAGCCAAGTACCCTGCAAGGACACACGCATGTCGCAGTCCCAAGTGACTCCTGATTCCAAACATCCCAAAGGGGAAGGGATGCAGCAGCACTTTCCCCTGGGGAGCCCTTCATGCAGTCCCCAAACAGGGCAAGAGGGCTCTCCATGTTTAGAGCATCCTATGGAGTCCCTGTGTCAGGAGAATGTGGGGCACAATGGGGAAAGGCAAAGCAAAGGTCTGGGATCAGCATCAACACTGGGGTGTCTTCAGCGGAGGAGAGAATTTGGGGCTGAGGGAAAAGCAAAAGGACAACGTGCCCAGCATGAACAGAAGAGGATGAGCGATGGAAACTCACTGCCCCAGTTATCAGCCTCTAATTAGCAACAACGCCTTCCCTGTGCTCCCTCCTGCCTGCTGGCCTGGGGGAACCCAACGGGGCTCCTGCAAGGATGGGATGCAGCCTTCACCCTCCACCTCCCCCCGCCCTCCGTACACGCCAAATGGCGGAGGGATGGTGGCTCGTGGACAAAGTGCCCCAGTAGCCCCACGCACTGCAAGGCTCGGGGTGAATCTGGACGGCTTTGGCCAGCAGAGGGGACTATTGCTCGCCTCTTTCTTGCAGAGGGGCGGGAGTTCAGTGGAGACGACGTGGGGCAGCTGGGAGGGGACACTGATTCTTTGCCTCCTTTGCAATGGAGGGGACAGCCCAGGGACCCTCCCCACCGCCCCTCCAGGAGTGGGGGGCGTGGGGGTGGGGGTGTATCCGGGAGAGAAAGAGCTGGCACAAAGCCTCTCCCCGATTATTTCTTTTCCGGCCTCTTTTGTTCTCAGACAGCTCCAAGTCGGAATTTCTAAACCCTCCTCCCCACCCGTAGAATAAATCAACTGGAAAAGAAAAATTAAAAATCAAAATAAAGGATGCCCGCTGGGCTGTCTGGATAGAGGGCTGTGGAGCTGGGGCAGGATTTATGCCAGAGCACTGCCTCTGGCTGAGCCCAGATCTGCTCCGGACAGTGAGATGCACTGAGAGTGCTCAGAGCATCCCCACAGGGCATCTCCTACCCGGGACACCAAAGCCCTCGGTGGTACCATTTGGAGCAATATAAAGGGTCCCACAACCAGGCACTGGGGATGGGGATTTGCCCTTGGAAAACCCCAGATAAAATCCATGTGAGCCCCTCTCCGTGCCAAGCTCACTCGGTGCTCTGGTTGCTTTTTGGGAACTAGCTGAGCTACAGATGGCACCAAGCCCCAAGGCACAGGGTGCAATGTGCTCTTCGGGAATCCCAGCTGTACACAAAGGGGAAACTGAGGCACAGCAAAACCCATCCCTGCCCTGAATGAATCCACCGTCCCTGCAGCATCCCCCCAAAGCGCAGCTCCTCCCCAGCATGGCGCGTTGCCATCCCCACTCAAGCACTGCCCAACATCCCAAGGGGACAGAGGGGGATGGGACATAGGGACGGCGCTGGCAGCAGCTGTGCCGGCTGTGGAAGAGTTAACTGCTCCTCTGCTCGGGTCTCAGAGGCCTCCCACTCACCCGGCGTGAGTATGAATAGCTGCGTTCGCCCGCGCCGGCACCGCTCTGCTGCCTTCCTTCTGCCGCCGCGATGCTGAGCATGGAGGGCTTCGTGGGGGCGAGAGCTCTGGGTGAGGAATCGCTGCAGATGTGGGACCTCAACAAGCGCCTGGAGGCCTACCTGGCCCGCGTTAAGTACCTGGAGGAGGAGAATGAGGAGCTGCGAGCTGAGATTCAGAGCACCAAGGAGAGCCCGGCCGGGGACCCACGCAGAGCCAGGTATGAGGAGGAGCTGCGGTCGCTGCGGGATGCGCTGCACCGTGCCTTCACCGAGAAGTGTGCGGCTGAGCTGGCCAGGGACAACCTGTACGAGGAGGTGCAGCATGTGAGGAGCAGGTGCCAGAAGGAGCAGGCAGCCCGCGAGGAAGCCAAGAGACAGCTGTCCTCCAGCAAGAAAGAGCTGGAGGAGGAGAGACGGGCACAGATCTGGCTGAAGGAGAGAGCTGTGCAGCTGGAGAAGGAGGTGGAAGCTCTGCTGGAGGTGCACGAGGAGGAGAAAGCAGGGCTGGACCAGGAGCTCGCCAGCTTCTCTCAGAGCCTGGAGGGCTTCCGTTGTGCTCCGGTGGCATTCCAGCCCGTGGAGGTGGAGGACTACTCCAAGAGACTGTCAGAGATCTGGAGAGGGGCGGTGGAGACCTACAAGGCGGAGGTGTCGCAGCTGGAGCGTGCACTTGGCCAAGCCAAGGAGAACCTCTGGCAGGTGGCAGAGGACAACCAACAGAGCCAACTGCAGCTGCGGCACCTGGAAAAGGAGCTGGTGGGGCTGAAGGTGCGGAAGGAGATGCTGGAGGAGAGCCTGGGCCAGCAGTGGCAGGAGCAGCACGGAGAGGCTGAGAAGTTCCAGGTGGGGAGAGTGGGGAGCTTGGGGGGCTCAAAAGCTGAGAGGAATCAGAACAGCCCTCGGGTGGGCTGCAAGCCCCAGGGCAGCAGCCATTCCTTCCCATTTCTGCTGCCACTGCATTCGGGATGGATAAACTTCATCCGACTTAGCCACAGCTGCAGGCAAGCAGCTGCGAAAGTAATTCTGCGGGGGAAGTCGTGGGGGGAGCAGGCTGGAAATGCAGCCCCAGCTCATAGCTGGAGTTAGAGACCCCACACAGGGAAAGGTTCCTCTTTTGTTCCCGGTTTGAGGATGAAGAAGGGGATGCCACAGCCATCCTCTCAAAGGACCCCTCCTTCCCAATCCGACATCACATGGCCCCGATTCCCCCCCCCTTCCCATCCCTCCTCCAGCAGCTACATCCTTCTTGCATTTTTACTCCATTCCTCTCCTTGCTCTCTTGAATCCTCTCCAACTTCCGCACGTGAAAAGCAAGAGTCCCCGGGATATTCCACCCTGCAGCACCCTGAGCACCTGGGCACCCCCAGGACACCCATTTCTGACATCCCCAAGGAGTACTGAGGGCACCCATGGGTGACAGCGAGAGCCACCCCAAGCAGTGCTGGAGTTGGATGGATTCAGGGTCCTCATCCCCACTGCTTGTCATGCAGCAGGCGGTGCCGGAGTGGAGTCACAGCTGCTGACCCACATCCTCCGGAAGAGGACAGAGTGCTTAATTTCCCATGGGACAAAGAGGGTCAGGACCAGGAAGAAGAGAAATGATGGGGGTGGTGGGAAACACAATCCGGGCAGAAGTGTGCCACCAGAGCTCCCTCCCTGTCTGGAGAGATCAGTCAGGTTCCTGACCCTGTGCTTCTCACTACAGCTGGCCATCGAGGCTCTGGAGCAGGAGAAGCAGAGCCTGCAGGTGCAGATCGCCCAGGTGCTGGAGGACAGGCAGCAGCTCATGCACCTCAAGATGTCCCTCAGCCTGGAGGTGGCAACCTACAGGTGAGGTTTCCTTCACGGTGGCACGGCTCCCTCTGGGGATACAGTGCTCCCTCTGTGCTCCCGTGTGCTCAGAGCACGGCGATGCCCCAAACCTCCCCTTGCAGCCTCGCTGGACAGAGTGGTAAGAGAGCTGCTGGGAGACTCTGGGGCTGAACCCTGCAGCCCCCAGTCCGTCTCCAGCCCTTCCAGATGGCCCCAGACAAAGGCAGGCTCGCAGAGGACTGGGGGTACAATTAGCATGAGAATAGGGGCTGTCCCCAGCGGAGGGGCCTCCCCGGCAGAGCATGATGTCACCCGGTGGTGAGGACACTAAGCTGGGGCTGGGGGGATGGGAGGGGGCCCACAGAGCAGGGAGGGAAGAGATCCTTGGCAGGCAGTGAGGGGCTGCCCCCTGGGATCCCCCTACCCCCACACCTCACAACCAGGTGACACAACAGTTTGGCTCCAGCAAAACCACCCACAGACATTTTATGCCTCAGTTTACCTTTGGAGCATCCCCCTGGCTTGCACAGGGACTGACTTGATTTGGCAGCTCAGCAAAGATATCACCCCCCCCACACAACACCTCTCCTTACAGGACACTGCTGGAAGCAGAGAGCACCCGGCTGCAGATGTCTCCTGGGGAGTTCAAGCTGGCCAACAGCCTGCGAGGTAAGGAAGGGCCAGGGAGCAGAATGATTTTCCTGGCAGGGGTTGGTCAGTGCGATAGGAAGGTGCTAACAGCGGGCGCTGGTCTTGCTGGCACCTCCGCATAGAGCAGATAATGGCTTATCTGCTTCTTCACTTCTTTTTTTAATTCCTCCCCTGCATGAGGAGCCTGAGCACAAGACCTCAGGCTCGGCAACAGGCTGAGCATTTCCTTTTTTCCTTGAATATATTGAAAAACCATCACCTGCACACATCCCCGCAGCACAAGCCCACCACATCTCTGACCCCACTGCTTCAGGCAGAGCAGAGCATCCGTCGTCCCATGCGGTCCCCCTGGCAGCATCAGTGCTCTGCAACACTCAGGGGAGGAATTTCTCACTTCCCAAGAAGTGTTTAAAAATAGGAGAGGGGTCAGCAAGAGGGAAGAGAAGAGCTGTTGGGCTGCAGTTGGGTGATGGGGTGATCTTTGCCCCAGCTCTTAGGTTTTGGGCTGTGCCCTCCACACTGTGCTCTCCCTCCTCTCTGCAGATGTCAAGCTGGAGGTGAGCAGCAGCAAGCACCGTGCCAGCCTTGCTGCCTTCCCCCGGCCCGAGGGGGTGGCACAGCTGTGCAGAACCCCCGGTGATGCCCTCAAGGCTCTGACTCCCAAAAGCAAGAGCTCCAGTGCACAGGAGTTTCAGAAAATCAGCTCAGTCCTGCAGGCACCGAGGAGCTGGGAGCCTGCTGCCCCCAGCCACGCTGTCCCAGTGCTATCCCCAGTGCCAGGCAGTGGGGGGGCAGAGAGCCCAGCTCATGAGCGTGGGGCTGGTGAGGAGTCCCCCATGCAGAGCCCACTGAGTCCTGAACAGCTGGTCAGCCACGCATTGCAGGATGCTCTCAAGGAGATGCAAGATGATGCTGAGGCCAAAGAAGTGCCCAAATTCAGTGCTACCCAGAGTACCAGGGATGGGGATCTTGAAGACCCCATGGAGGAGGAGGAGGAGGCAGCAGGAACCCAGGAGATGGGTGTTGAGAGTGCCACCATGTCTCCGCCTGGGCTGCATCTCTGCAGCAACGTGCCCACATTGCTAAGTGCCACCCAGAGTGATGCAGAGAGCCAGGAGGAGAAGTGGGAGGAGGAGAGGAGTAAAGAGGAGGAGATGCTGAACCCACTGAGCTCCATGGAGAGCCAGGAGCCAGGGGGAGAGCCCTGGGAAGGGGACACAAGGGGGTCCAGGCTGGAAGTGGGCAAGGAGGACATGGAGGCCACCAGCATGGAGGCTCTGCACGTCTTGGAGCACAAGGAGCAGAGAGAACCCTGGAGCCCCTCCAGAGAGGATGAGGAATGTGAGTTCCCAGATCAGGAGAGGGAAATGCGAGAAGAAGGGTCCCTGCAGATGGAAATCGAAGCTGCTTGTGCTGTCCCTGTGGGGAGCCACCCAGTTTTGCCTGCGGGAATCCACTTGCAAGAGGACTTTGTTGAGAGAGAGCAAAAGTCTGAGCACCAGGAGATGTCCCTGTGTGAGCTGGGTGCTGCTGCAGAGGAGGAAAGGGAGCAGGAGGTGTGCCTGGAGATGAGGGCTTCTAGCATTGAAGCTGCCGTGCCAGCAGCAGAGGGCTCATCAGGGTCTGGAGAAGACACTACAGGAAGGGAGAGCACAGGCAGAGCAAGGGATCGTGAGGGAGAGGAAGAAGATAAAGGAAGGGAGGCATTAGGGGGAGAAGACCCCCAGGCAGGGGAAGCTTTGGGAGCCAAAGAGATGAGGCAGGAGAGCATAGGCTTGGAGGAGGCTGAAGGCATATGGGAGGAATCTGTGGACCTGTGGAAAGAACATAGAGACCCCCAGGATGGACATGGGGACCTGCAGGAGGAGCAGGAGGACCTGTGGGAGGAACACAGTGACCTACAGGAGGAGCATGGGGACCTGCAGGTGGACCATGGGGACACCCAGGAGGAACATAGGGACCTGCAGGTGGAGCACAGGGACCTGCAGGAGGAACATGGGGACCTGCAGGTGGAGCACAGGGACCTGCAGGAGGAGTACAGGGACCTGCAGGAGGAACATGGGGACCTGCAGGAGGAACACAGGGACCTGCAGGAGGAGTACAGGGACCTGCAGGAGCATGGAGACACCCAGGAGGAGCATGAGGACCTGCAGGTGGAACATAGGGACCTGCAGGAGGAACATGGGGACCTGCAGGAGGAACACAGGGACCTGCGGGAGGAGTACAGGGACCTGCAGGAGCATGGGGACACCCAGAAGGAGCATGGGGACCTACAGGTGGAGCACAGGGACCTGCAGGTGGAGTATGGAGACACCCAGGAGGAGCATGGGGACCTGCAGGAGGAGCACATGGACCTGCAGGAGGAACATGGGGACATGCAGGAGGAGCACAGGGACCTGCAGGAGGAACATGGGGACCTGCAGGAGGAACATGAGGACATGCAGGATGAGCACAGGGACCTGCAGGAGGAACATGGAGACCACCAGGAGGAACATAGGGATATGCAGAAGGGGCATGGGGACTTGTGGGAGGAACATGGGGACACCCAGGAGGAACATGGGGACCTGTGGCAGGAACACGGGGTCTTGAAGGAAGAACATGGGGACCTGCAGGAGGAACGTGGGGACCTGCAGGAGGAATCTGGAGACCCTCAGGAGGAACCTGGGGAACCTTGGGTGCAGTGTGGGGAGCAGGGCTCTGCAGAGGATGGGCTGGAGCAGGACATGGTGCTGCAGCCAGGAGAGGGGGCATGGGGCAGGGAAGACAATGACATTGACCAAAAGCAGCAAGCACAGGACTGGGAAGAGACGGCGGAGGATGAAGAGGAGACAGAAGTCAGCACTGTCACATGCCAAGAGCCAGCCCAGGTGGATGACAACCCACATGCAGAGGCAGCAGAAAATGAGGAGGGAGATGTCATATCACCAACAGCAACGGAGGAAGCCCAGGAGGGTGAGGATGATGGAGATGCTGGGAGCGAGGTGCAGAGCCAGCAGCAGCCACAGGGCACAGTAGGACAGGAGGCTGAGCCAGCCCCAGGGCAGGAGGAAATCAGGTACGAGGACGCTGGGGAGGCACCAGGGGACCCACAGGAGCCAGCTGAGGCACTGGAGGTGCAGGATGAGGAGCTTAGCTCGGAGCCCATTGAGCTGGAGAGAGGCAGTCCCGACACTGCAGTGCTGCAGCAGGATGTGGGCGCAGAGAGTGATGAACCCATGAAGGAGGACATTCAGTCAGAGGATTCTCAGTTGGATGAGCCCAAGCTGTGCAGGATGGAATTAGAGGACCCGCTGCTCAATAGCACGCCGCTGTGTGCATACAGCGGGGAGGTGCTGGAGTCTGATCCAAACCCTCCATCCAGTGGAGGGGATGGGGAAACAGAACCTGAAATGGCTCTGGAGGAGGAAGGGGAGCTGAGAGGGAGTGATGAGGCAGCTGTTCATGCAGAGCCAGAGAGCTGTGAGGAGTCAGGAGTGGAGCTGAGCCCTGCGCCAGAATGCACCGAGGAGGAGGAAGGGTACTTTATAGTTTCTGCTCCCAACCAAGAGGGGTCCAGCATGGAGGAGGCTGAGAACTCAGAGGAATTTGAAGAAATTAAAGTTGAAGCAGCAGAAGACAGACAGGATGAACTAACAGTGCCTGCAGTAGCCTCTCTGGTGCTAGAGAATGAAGAGCACTTGGAGCCACTTGGGGGGGAAGCTGAAGATGTGAAAATGCCCGTGGGAGAATTGGAGATGCCAAAGGAGGAGGATGAGGAGGATGCAGGGGGTTTTGCTGCTGAGCTGGAGGAAGGACTGGCTGTGCCCATGGATGAAGGGCTGTCTGAGGGGCACACTGATAAGAACATCCTGGGTGATGAGGGCCTGGGGGAGGAAGACATGCAGGATAGTGACAACCCCCCAGCCACTGAGACCTCCAATACTGACCCCTCCAACACTGACCCACCTCCAAGCACCATGCTGGAGCATGGATCTGGCATGGAGGCAGCTGAATATCTCCCCGATGTGCCCACACAGATGCCAGTGGACATCATGAAGGACTCGGATATCCTGGAAATAGTCGAGCAAGCCCTGGAGTTCAATCAGGAGCTGGTACTGGGAGCCAAGCTAGCCAAGGATGGGGAGGGGGATGGTGACACACAGCCCCCACAGGAGGAGGAAGGGGGGTCCTCACCCACCTCATCCAGTGATGAGCAGCCGACGGTGCAGGAGGCGGTGGCAGAACCAGAGCGCACCAAGAACGGGGAGCAGAATGGGCTGCACCGGCAGGCCAGCCTGGAGGACCTGGCTGAGTTCACCGAGGAGGGGCTGAATGGCATCACCCACCCTGGAGAAGCCCCTGCTGCCCACACCCTGCCCCTGCCCGGCAAGCACAGTGGGGCTGAGCCTGTTCCTCCACTGTCTCCGCTGCAGGACCAAGTCCTGCACCCAGAGCAGGAGCCCTGGTCCTCGGGGGAGGAGTGATGGTGGTGGGACCCCCACAGCCCCACGACAATCGGACACCTCCCATAGCACTGCCTACGTAGCACACCCATTTCCTGTTGGTTTGTAACATGTTTGTGTGGGTTTTGCCTTGCTGAACGGATGCCCGGCACACGGCAGCGCAGCTGAGTGAGGGGCCACATCTTCACACCTCAGAGCAAGGAACCGGGCTCTCTCTCTGCCTCCACATCCCACACTTGTGCTGGGTTCAGCCTCATTTTGTACCCCAGGTGTGCTCTTTACTGCAGTATTTAATTTAAACGCTGCGTCTCCTCCTTCCCCATTCAGCCCAACCAGGTGCACGCGGTGTGATTTCCGTACAGGCTCACCTTTGTGCTGCACACTGGGATGTCCGTCCCCAACCCACCCAATGCTCACAGCGCTGAGCCACACCGGATGCATCCGCTGCATTGACACTAAGTTAATAAAGCATCGCCCTCCCACTCTGACCTGTCAGATCCCGGCTCTCATTCCTGTGGAAGGGGGGAGATGGATGGGGAACTCATGGATTTTGGGCAGGGCCGGGGGTGCGGGGAGGACATGGTGGTGTTGAGGCTGCTTACCCTTATCCCCTGCCCTAGGGATGCTGCTGGGTGCAGTGTTGCATGGAGCAGGGGGACGGGTGCCAGCCCACCGCGACCCCATGCCAACACACTCAACAATGAGACAGCAGAAAGCAGCTGCTATTGCTGCCTGAGCCGGGCACGCTGCCCACAAGGCTGCCCAGTACCCAAGCATCCCAACCCAGCCAAGGCACGTTGCTCCATCCCCGACGGATGACACATTACCCCCTCTCCATGTGGCACCCAGAGGGGGTCTGAGAGGGGTGGGCAGCGGGGTGGGTGCCAAACTGATCCCCGGACGGTGTGGCTCAATGCCTCTTTTGTGCGTCGGGCATGAAGGAACGCGACGGTGGCCGGAGAATGGGTGCCCTTATGTGGGCAAAGGGCTGAGTCACGGTGGGCAGGGGGTGAGGGGAACCGGGTGGCATTGGCATGCAGCACTCAGCACTGTGCTGCTCACCCACACGCTGGGTTCAGCCCTCCGTGCCCCTGCCAGCACCGCGCGGAGCCAGGCTGCGATAAGGACCCTGCGTTTATCTGCCTTCGCTGCACAAAGCCCCCGGCCCCCTCCCCTGCCCACAGGCGATGGTTTCCTTTTAAGGACAAACTCGAACGAAGCGATACCAAAAAAAAAAATCCCCTCCGATTAGTTTAATCAGGCACTGAGCCTGTGTTCAATCAGCCCCTGGCCCACAGCCGGCCCTGCAGCGAGGCCTGGGCAGCATCAGCCGATGGCGGCTCGGTGATCCACGGCCGTCCCCCCCATCCCCAAAAGCTGTGGGGATGCTGTGGGGTGGGGGAGGCGAAGTGCCGGGCGATGCGGGGGGCGGCATTCCTCCCAAAATTAATACGCATTCCAGGCAGCCCAGTGCTGACAAAGAGACGAGGGGGGACAGATGGTTGGGGCAGCTCCCTCCTCACCCTGAGGAGGAGGAGGAGGAGGAAGGGTCAAGGGCTGGGGGTCACTAGAGGGGCGAGAATGGCTGCGGGGCACTTGGCTGAAAGCAAAGCCCAGCCATGCTTGACCGGAGACAGCACAAAGTGCAAGAGTGGATGTCCCCAAATGGGACAGGAGTGCTCCCAAAAGAGGCTACCCCCTTTCTAGGGTACCAACCCCATGGGGATCCCCATCTGCAGCCCAACCCTGCACACCCATCACCCCAGGGCGGAGATCACCCCATGCCCACCACCCATGGGAGTACATATGCACTTTGCCAGCCAAAAGTCACTGGAGCAAATCAGAGGCCACCACCCGCCTCATTAAATCCAACCAGCCGAGCACATCTAATCTAATTTGGGGGGCAATGGGGCTTTTGGGGGTGGGAAGGGAGGTGGTTGTTCAGGCCTGACCCCTGAAAACTGCTCACACACCATAAGGTACTGAGTGTGTGGGCAGCACATGCAAGGGCTGGTGGGCACGGCATGGGCACAGCATGGGCCACTGTGCTGTGTAAAGTGGATGCTTTAAGAGTCTCGAAGACCCCCTCAGCCTGGCCCCCTGCCAGACAATTACGGGTTTTGTTTCCTTTAAGGCTGGGCAGAGAGGGAGTTTTCAATGGAGCCCACACAAAACCTCCCTGTGGGATGAGCCCAGCACCAGGGGGGGGGGGGAAGCGAGACAGGATGACCTCAGCGATGACTTCACTGTGCTCACAGTTCCCAAAAAAATCACAGAAACCTTATAAGGAAAGGACTAAAAATACAATCAGAGGGGTGCAGGCAGCCCCCACTCCTCCTCCCCAAAATGAGCCCTCATGGATGTTCCACGCAGGCAAATAGGAGACACGTGGGGGATGCATGAAGGGGACAATCGATGGGGGCACAATGGACCTGCAGAGAGAGGCAGGCTGGTCCCCACTATGATGCCATGGGTTGGGCAGCAGGTTCCCCCAGCCTGGCATCATCCCCCCTTGCCGGGACCACTCCATCTGTCCCTTCCCAGCACCCAGGGACGTGCCACCAGGACGGCTCCACCACCCCCTCCCCACCCTTCAGTGGGGTCATGCGCTCCCAGGAATAGCTCCTGCTGGCTATAATAAGTGCTGCCCTGGTGTCAGGGGCTCACCCAGCTGCTGGGCCATGACCCCCTGACAGCTGCTGCCAAATCGGGGTGATGTGGATGCCTGTGGCCAAGCCCGAGGCGGGAATGTGCGCCTGGAGCCATCCATCAGTGCTACAAAGCATCCCCAGCCTCAGCTCCAGGGTGATGCAAGCCCTGGGGCCATGCATCCCCATCCCCTGGTCCCCTGATCCCAGCTCAAAGAAGAACTCACATGCCTACCCCCATGCCTTTATCTCCCCAAAACTCTCCGATGTGCAAAAATGGCACGGTGAGAAGGACAGTGCCCATCGACTCGCTGCTTATCACCACTCCAAACGCTGCTTCCGCCTCCTTGCAATCAACTTGGCACCAGAACAACCCGTGCAGGATGTGGCATGCAGCCTGCGCCCTGTCATTAGCGGGGGTGAGGGAGGAGGTGTGGAGCAGGAGCGGGATGGGACAAGGGCTGTGGTGAGGTAGCAGACACGTGAATGCCTGTGCCTCAGTTTCCCTCACCCAGCTGGCTCAGGATACCATGGGGGCTGTAGTGCACCCGGAGCTGACTCACACCCGGAGGAAACGCTGACAAAGCAGCTCCTTCCTCACTGGGGACCGACGTGCAGGTGGCACAGGTCAAACAGGGCTCTTCAGGTGGCCAGAGCCGAACCTGGGGCCAACCTTCCTTTGTCCAAACAGGGCTCAGATCCCCTGGACACAAAGCTGATGCCCACTGCAGCTTGGGCCATGGGTCAGAGCGGCAGACTTTGGCAGGGGTCATGCTGCTTGGGACAGGATGTGACTGCATCAGCCCTGAGTCACCGCAGGCAGCTGATGGAGGAGAAGTGGCCCATGAAGGTCCCACAGCTCCAAGTCCCAAATAGCTCCCACTGCATCCACCATCTCGGGACAACGTTCCCAGTTTGGGGACCACACGCCCCATTTGGGGACCACATCCCACCTCTGCTTTGAAGACCACATGCCCGCTTAAGGCACTGCATCCCTGGTGCAGCTTCTTGCTGTCAATCAGCCGCAGCATCGCTCAGGAATTCAGTGTAAATCATCCCCCCTCTCCCTCCCCCCCCATTTCGGGCAGGTGGGCCGGGGGTCGCTGAAACCCCAGTGCAGTGACAACTGCCCGGTGGGTTTGGATTTCACAGCAGAGGGGCTGGTTGGGGATTAACGGCCCATGGGGACAGCAGCGGCATGCCCGACCCCTCGGCTCGCCCGGAGGCTGCTGCCGCTTTCCCAAACATGGCCAGGGGCTCGGGGAGCCGCTGACTGGGCTGAGCGGGGCAGGTGGCACTGCCCCAGCCCCGGGCTATGGCACCCGGGCACGCTTCCCCCCCCGCAAAGGCTCACGCCTGTATGGGGAGGAAATGCCTTTCCCCTGAGCGAGCCCCGGCGCTGAGAAGCAGGGAAGGAACTGGTCCACGTCCCGTTGTGCTGCAGGTGAGGGAGGTGCTCCCAGTAGGGGCTGCAGCGATGGGTTCTGCACAGCCCTACCGCTGTGCTGCTAAGGAGAAAACGATGCATCGGTGCTCCCCCTCCTGAAAGCAATGGGACAGGACCGTGTGTGTGCTGGGGGGGGAGGACAGACGGACAACCCCTTGCTCAATGTGGTCTCAACCTCCAGCACCCACTGCCACCCTCAGCTACGAGCATCCCCTATGGGCACCCCATCATCTCCCCCCCAAAAAAAAAAAAAATCCTACAAAACCAACAACTTCTATTCGGGGAGGTGAAGCCAACCATCCCCCAAATCTTCAAAAGTCCACAAATCCCCCTTAAATCCCCCCTCAAAAAGTCCCCCCAAAAAAGCCCCCCAAAAAGTCCCCCTAAAACCCCGCGCAGCTCCGCGCGCTCCCACCGCGCGCTATGGCGCCACCTGCCGGAGAACCACCGCTTTCGGCCTTTCCACTCTTTCACTTCATTGGCCAACCGAACTGACCAATGAAAAAGGAGGCGTCTGCCCGGTATTGCCACCTCAGCCAATCGCAAGCAGGCGGTCTTCCGGCCTGCCCGGAAGAGCCGGCAGCCAGAGGGAGGCGTGGTCAGTAGGCGGGTCTTCATGGAGGAAAGCCAATGAGCGCGGCGCGATCGGCGTTGGGGGCGTGTCCGTCGGTGGGACTTCCAGCCAATGGGGCGCGCGGGGGGCGTGGCCGGGCTTCCAGAGAGTTCGGAGACGGGCGGCGGAGCAGCGGTGAGTGCGGGGGGGCATCGCCCCCGCTGCCCCCGGCGCCCCCCGGGTCCCCACCTCCCCCACTCCTCCCACGGGTAGCGGCGACCCCGACCCCTCGTTGCCCAGCCCTGTCGGCCCGAATATCGGCCGGAATATCGCCTTATCCCCGCGGGGACCCTCGACGTGCGCCCCCCCCCCGCGGCGTGGTGCAGCGCAGTGACAGCCGCGGGGCGGGCGGCGTTGCACGGGGCGCCGTCACATCCCGCATCGGGAGCAGCGACCCGCCCCGCTGTGCCCCGCAACCGGGACGCCCCCGGGAACGGCCCCATCCCGGGCGGCGCGGATGAGCAGAGATAACCCCCCCCTCCTTCATCCCCCAGCGCAACATCGGGGCTTATCGACGGGCGGCACGCGGAGTGGGGCGGCTGCGTGGGGAGTGGGGAAACTGGAGGGGGGGGGGATGCGGGACACGGGGGTGACGCCTCCCGCTCGCAGCAGCGAGGACGATGGTGAAGGAGACGGGTTACTACGACTTGCTGGGCGTGCGGCCGGGCGCCAGCCTGGATGAGATCAAGCGGGCGTACCGACGCCTGGCACTGCGCTACCACCCCGACAAGAACCCCAGCGAGGGCGAGCGGGTAGGAACCCCCAAACCTCCCCCCACCACCCAGCCCCACATCGCCCCGTTGCCCCCCTCCCGCTCACCACCCTCTCTTCCCTCTCAGTTCAAGCAGATCTCGCAGGCCTACGAGGTGCTGTCGGATGCCCACAAACGGGCACTGTACGACCGCGGAGGGGAGAGGGCCATGAAGGAGGGCGGCCTGGGCAGCAGGAGCAGCCCTGGCTTCGGTTCCCCCATGGACATCTTCGATCTGTTCTTTGGAGGCGGTGTGAGGATGCGTGGCCGGGCGGACCGGCGAGGTGCGGGCACTGGGGACACCGGGAGCTGGAAGTGGGGTGACGGCGAGAGCGGAGATGGGACTGGGTTGACCTGTTGGCTCTGGGGATGTGGCTGACATGATGCTTCTAGGGATGGGACAGGGTTGACCTGCTCTGAAGACAGGACAGCGTTGACATGTTGGCTCTGAAGACAGGATGGGTTGACATGTTGGCTGTGTTGGCTCTGGGGGATGGGGTTGACTTGTTGACTCTGGAGACGCCAGCACCCAGTTGGTGGCCCCCGGGCCACCTCACTCCTCACACCGCACAGCCCAGCACAGTTCTTTGTCACCCTCATTACTTTCTCTACCTGCCCCTCTTCAAAGAGCCCTACTCAGTCCCCCGCTGTCCCCAGGCTGGGGTGAGTCACCTAGCGCTGCCCTCGGCTCCCCACGGCCTTGGGGATGCAGGGCGTGCAGGGTGCTCTGGTGACAGCAGGATGCTTTAGGCTTGGGTCATGCAAGAGGGGATGGCCCGATGACTTGCCAGGGCGCTTCTTGCTGAGGTGGCAGGATTTAATTGCAGGGCAATTAGGAGGTGAAAGAGAGCGTCTTGGCACCTCTGGGTAGGGCTGGTGATGAACAGCTGCAGCATGGCGAGGGCTGTGGGGCTGGGATGTGGGGCTGCCCCAGGGGTCTGCAGGATCTGAGCTTCCTTCTGCCATGCGACAGCAGAGCAGTGGCTGAAGGCGCAGCCCTGTTGCACGCAGCGTGGTGCTGATCCAGGTTCTCCATCCTTGCAGGCAAGACGGTGGTGCATCAGCTCTCCGTGTCGCTGGAGGACCTCTACAACGGCACCACGCGCAAGCTGTCCCTGCAGAAGAACATCATCTGCAGGAAATGCGGAGGTGAGGGCCTGGGGGGGACCGAGACAGGGGGTCAGCACTGTGCCCAGCCCTCACCCCTCACCTGCCCTCGCCCGCAGGCTGCGGGGTGCGGGAGGGCGCGCAGCGGCGGTGCCCCAAGTGCCACGGCTCGGGCATGGAGGTGCGTATCCACCAGCTGGGGCCCGGCGTGATCCAGCAGATCCAGACGGTGTGCTCCCAGTGCCAGGGCCAGGGCGAGTGGATCCGGCCCCGCGACTGCTGTCTCACCTGCAATGGCCGCAAGGTCGTGCGGGAGAAAAAAATCCTCAGCGTCCACCTGGATAAAGGTGAGAGAGGGCTGTGCCAAGAGGGTGACCCGTGATACAGCTCCGGAGCTGGGATCTGAGCTGTTGAATTCTCCCTGTAGGTATGAAGGATGGGCAGAAGATCACCTTCCACGAGGAGGGTGACCAAGTGCCTGGCCTGGAGCCTGGGGACATCATCATTGTCCTGGACCAGAAGGAGCACCCCGTGTTCAGGCGGAGCGGTGATGATCTGATTGTCAGGCGGGAGATCAGCCTGGCAGATGCGCTGTGTGGCTGCAGGCAGGTCATCCGCACACTGGACAACAGGACCCTGCTTGTCGCCTCGCAGCCAGGTAGGATGGGGACGTGTGTCCCCGTGGTCCCATCCTGCACTGTTTCTGAGTTCCACTCTTCCCAGCTCTACCCCCTTTTCCTCCAGATCTGCACAAAGTCCCCAGCAAAAAGCTGAGAGCAACGTGGGGGCACAGTGCGGTGATGCACAGTGCAGCGGTGCACAGCACAGTGACACTCATCCTCTCTCTCAGGTGATGTCATCCGACCTGGGGACCTGAAGTGCATCCCCAATGAGGGGATGCCCGTCTACAGGAGCCCCTTCCAGAAGGGAAAACTCATCCTCAAGTTCGAGGTGAGGTGTGGGGTTGGGATGGGAGATGGATCCTGTGTGGCCGCCCCATGCCCACCTCCATCCCCAACCCTTCTGTACCCACAGGTGAAGTTCCCCGAGCCTGGCTGGCTGCCCACCGAACGCCTGCGCCAGCTCCAGGCCTTCTTCCCACCCCAGGAGGAGGTGATGGCCACTGAGGACACGGAGGAGGTGGAACTCAGTGACTACACATCCCATGGCAGTACGGGCCGGCGGCCGCATGGCGAAGCATACCACGAGGATGACTTCGAGGATGGCACCCGTCAGCACGTGCAGTGCCAGACCTCATAGCCGAGGCTGTTGGGGGCTCGTCCCATGCAGGGGCAGGGGGCAGCGCGGTGGGGAAGGGGCTCGGAGAGCCGTTGACCTTCAGGGATGTACATAGGTCACCTTTCCCACAGCACTCGCCCTTCTTTTGGAGCCATCCCCTCTCCCTGCGCCAGGACAGTGCAGCCCTGGACTGATGCTGAGCGGGGGCCGTGCTGCCTGCCTCAGTTTCCCTATCTACAGCGTGTGGCCAGGAGCATTGTGCCCAGCACCGGGCAGCCCTGAGCATTCCACACCAAGGAGGTGGTGGGGAAGGCTCCAGCTCTGCTGCCCTCCACCTGCTCTGCCCTGCGCAGGGCTGAGGACCCCCGCCCTGCAGCCCCCACCCCATGGGGTGATGCTGCCGCCGGTTCACTTGCTTTGCCCATTTCTTTCCTGCTGGAGCCTGGGTCTGGCCTGGGGAGCGGAGGGGGTTTCTCTTTTCTCTTTGCACAGAAGGGGGTAGGGGGGGGACCTGGCCCTTTTTATTTATTTTTGAAATAATTTTAAGTCTTTTTTTGGGGGGGAGGGACGGGGAGGGAGGGTGGAGAGGACTTTGTATGTGGCATTAAAAGCAATCCTGACTCCTCCTCGTTGCCGGCCCACAGCCGCTCCCCCCGGGGGCAGCCTCGCGCACCGCCCGCTTTGATCTGCGGGCGTGCCTCAGTTTCCCCAGCCTTGCTCAGCAGGGAGGGGAGCCGCGGTCCTGGCCCTGACCCCCCGGCAGCCGCTGCTGCCCTCACAATCCGGGCCGTGCCCCCGCCGCAGGGAAAGGGCCCTTTGAAGCCGCCCAGCGCCAGGAGGAGGGGAGCCGGGCAGGGCCTCCCACTGTCCTGTCATTACCGGGGCAGCGGATGGGGAAACTGAGGCACGCCTCCGTCATCGTCCCCCTGCAGGCAGCCGCCAGGGGTCAGCAACTCGTGGGCTGCGTCGTCCCCGAGCTGCATTGCGTCCTTGGGGCTGGGGGTGGCAGAGACCCCGCAAAGGCCACCCTGCGGGGGTTGAGCGGTGGAGCGGGGGGTCTCCAGGGCAGAGCCCTCCCTATGAGGAGACCCCCACGTCCGCAAAAGATGAGCTCAAATGCTGAGGAACAAAAGTACCGGGGTCAAACCGGATCCCGCAGCCCCCCTGCAACGGGGTCAGCCCATGGGACCCCCAAAACCAAAACTGGAAAAGAGCGACGGAGGGTCTTGTGGGGACTGGGATGGGGGCGGGTGCTCTGTTTTGGGGGCGGCATCGCGTGGGGAGGTGACAGCATCCCTCATCTGTCACCTCCTGGAGCCGGCGGCATTGGGGTACCGCCCTGCTCGCCCAGTTGTGGGCACTGCTGTTCCCGGCTGCCCCCAGGGAGCGCCGTGGGGACGGCTGTGTCACCGCGTCCCAAGCGGGGACACCGGGATGAGGGACCCTGGGGACCAGGCACGGCGTGCTGCCCCTCGGGAAGGGGGCCCAATGGGATGCGGAATCGTGGGGCACGGTGGTGCTGAGCCCTGTGCTGGAGCCTACGCGGTCACGCTGTACTCCCTGCGCAACGCCAGCACTGTGCCCTCCCTGAGCCCCCATTGCACGGTTGCAGTGCACCTGAAAACCCCTTCGTGGGGAGCAAGGAGTGGCGTGCAATCCTGCAGAGCCCCAGTATGAAGTTGGGGTGAAATCCTTGCAGTGGGGCTGCAGACATCCCAGCCCACAGCTTGGCTGCCGGCCCCGTAGCAGGGACAAGAGCCAACGCATCGCAGGACAAAGCCCCACCGCTCACCCGATAGCATGGAAGGAGCTACCTGGAGAGACCCTGGGGACCTCACTTCCAAAAAATGCATGACAAAGGCAGAGGGAGAAGGGTCGCAACCCCCCGTGGGTCACACATTCATCACCCGCAGCACAAAGCGGCTCAGAAGCCCCCAGCCCCTTTCAGGGCTTTGTCTGCGGCAGATGAAAGGCACGGGGCTGAGCGGGGCCCCCTCCCCAGCCGGGGGCAGCCCGGGGGTCAGCGGACAGCCGATTAGTGCCGGCTCGGGGGCACCCGCAGCCACCCACAGTGAGCTTGGGGGGGAGGGGGAAAACCCTGCAGCCCTCTTTTTGGGGAACCCATCACCATCACCACCCGTGCACTTTCCAATTGCGCACCGCTCTGCATCCTGGGACCCACTCCAGCAGTCCCCCCCCCCCCCCCCCCCCCCCCCCCCCCCCCCCCCCCCCGAGCCCTGCAGAGCCCCGCTCCCCTCCGGTCTTCGCACAATAAACAGAGGCTGAGAGGAGGAATCCGCCTTTGTTTCACTGAGCGGCCGCCATCCAACTCTTGGCGTGGGGTAGCCAACGGCTGGGGCACGTCCTCTCTGTACTCCCCATCACCAGCACAAGAAGTGAGATGGGACCCCCAGGCCGCCTCCTCCCTCATCCAGATGTGCACCCCCGTCATCCAGATGTGCAGCTCCAGCTGTTGGGGCACAGCCCCCATCAGGGCCCCTGCTGCCATCTCCGCTTTCACCACCGGCGCTGCTGCTTCCCCTCCCGCCCGGGGTTCGGAAGAGAGACAAATTGGAGCCGTCCCCTGGGCGGCTACGGAGAAAGAGGATATTCCTCTGGATCGGAAAACCGTGAGGGCCGAGAGTTGGAACGCATGGTTTTCATTAAGAGCTGCTCGAGGCGGATCGGTTCTGTTACAAAATCTCCGGGGAGAGAAACGAGTTCGGCTGAAAGGAGGAGGGGGCCGGCAGTGCCCACCACCCATCATCGCATGGCCGCGTCTTGGGGGCGGAGGGGGTAAGGGGGGGGCATGGAGCAGCTCCTGGTGCCACCCGGTCCCGTTACAGCACGGTGACGTCAGGAGCCGGCAGTGGTCCAGATCCCGGTGTGGGGGGAGATTTGAGGCGCGTTCCAGGAGCAGCACCTGGAGGCACAGCACTACCCCCATCATCCCCTCTTCACAACCCCCCCCTCCCCAAAGCTGTAATCCCACCGCTCTCCCCCACAGAGGAACCCACAGCACTGCCCCCCCCCCCCCCCCCCCCCCTTTGCGTCACCCCAAAGGCATCTGCAGCCGCTCCCGTCTTCCCAGGGCACAGCTTTTGTTTCCCATCCACTCCTGGTAAAACCCTGCTGCCACCACCGACACACCCAGGGAGCAGCACAGCAGCCCCCTTTGCCCCTCACCCCAAAGGCTCCCTGCCTACTCGGGGTTTGCTGCTTTACTGTTGGCTTTTCTCCAAAGAATCAGAGTGCCAAGGGCAGGATGCTCACCAGGAGGCACTCATCACCCTCCCTGCCACCTAAAATCGGGAGAGTTTGCCGAGTGCTCCTCATACTCCCATGCAACAACCCCCACACCCACCTCGTGGCCGAACAGAACCCCCTCCCCTCCATCTCATCACCCACCCTGGTGCCATCAACACAGCCAAGACAGCACAGGGGCAACCCAGCTGGGACCACGAGCATCACCTCATGGCAGCACTTGGGGTTTCCCCCCCAGCCCTGCACCCAAAGGGGCTCCGTGCTCCGGGTTCCCCATGCTTCCCACGCAGGGATGTGCCACACGGCATCGCCCAGCACCGCCTTTGCCCCCGGCCCTTTGCGCAACACTGGGCTGTGGCACAGAGCAGGATCAGCACACGCAAGCAGGGCCGGGAGGGATGGGGACAGCAGTGGGGGTCGGAGCTTTATTAGAAACAGGAGAGGGGAAGAAGGGTGAGGAGACGTTCCCAGGGGTCGGAGCTGCACGGCACCGCCAGACTGGAGCTGTTGAGTGTTTCCATTCCATTTAACTATTCACAAATAAATACCGGGGAGGGAGCAGAGAGAGCAGAGCTGCAGGGGAGGGCGAGGGTGCAGCACCGGGTGTGAGGTCAAAGTGAACCAAAAACAGTTATAAAAAAAAAAAAAAACACAAACGAAAAACATCAAACCCAAAGGATAGGGCGCTCCCCAACATCCTGCTGCTCAGTGCACCCCCACAGCCACCAGGAGGGGGGGGACACGGGGCAGGGGGACACAGGGCCATGGGAAGGGCATGGAGTGGGGCAGGGGGGGCTGGAGCCGTTGTGGGGCGATCGTTGGTGGTGTCACTCCCGGATGTACACTCTGGTGCAGACAACATCATCAGCTGTCATGGTCTGCAATAAGGAGCACTGGTCACAGCCCTATTCCAGGAGTTTTCCAGCACGCACCCCACTGCCATCCTTCCCACCCCCTATTGTTCCCCTCCCTCCCCCCCCACTCACCAGGATGAGCTCCCCATCATTGGTCAGCTCTCGGGACCAGCCCGTCCGGGGCCCCTCGCCCTTCAGCAGCCGCTGCTCACACACCATCTTGTTCTCACTCTCCCACTTGGCCAAGCTCTACAAAGGGGAGAGGGCAGCACTGGGTGGGGGGTGGGGGGAAGACAGGAAGCAGCCCCCAGCCCCATCAGGCAGTACCATCCACCACCACCAAACAGATGGGGCCATTTGTCCCCACAGCCAGCAGTTGCTGGACTCACGTATCACCTGGGGGCAGGGGAAGGGACAGGACTGCATGCTCGATGTGTGCACATGGATGTGTGCACACGTGCTAGTGCGACTGCACGTGTGTGCACATACCTGCACAGATGCACGCCCGCATGTGTGCGTTCACACACACACCAGTGAGTGCACACACATCCACGCACACACACATGGGTGCAGCTCAGCCCACCTTGCAGGGCCGCCCGTCCACCGTTTGCTCCTCGAACTCCTCCCCGATCCTGAAGCTGATCTCAGTGGTGCGCACGGTGGTCGAGGTCTTGATGTAGAAGCTCTCGCCGTCCTGCTTGATCTCCACTGCTGGCTTCGAGGCTGCAGCCACCGCGATCTTCCGCAGCATCATGTTAACGCCTGCAAGCAGGGACCGGTGTCAGAGTGACCCCTCCCCACACCCTGACCGCCCGGCCCGGTGTGTGACCCATGGAGGGGAGGTTAAGTGCCTCTCGGGACGGCGGTGACGACGACCCCCGGCAGAGTTCCAGAGCTGTGCCGAGCTACAGATGCTGCTGCTTTTCTATGGAATTGGTTGCAGATGGGGGGCACGAGGTCGTGCAAACACCTCCCCCCCCCCCCCACTTAGGGCTCGATGCCATAAACCCCTGCAGAGCGCACAGGGGGCACGTGGCTGCCCCCCGCCCCCCACTCCACAACTTGGCAGTGACACAGCTTGGGAGGACCCCGAGCTCTGCAGACAGCACAATATGGAGGGAGGGGGGGGGGGGGGGGGGGGGGGGGGTGTGCATGAAACCCCCTCCACACATCTGGGCCACATCTGGTGCTCGTTACCTTCAGGCAGGGGGGAGCTGTGCGGGCTCCGGATGTGCCTGAGGGTGATGGGGAGGCGCGCGGGGTGACAGCGGGGACATGGTGCAGGGCTCCTGCCTCACATCTGGGGGCCGGGGGGGTCTCACACCCATCATTGTGCCCCCGCAGCCCCCTCTTTTCTTGCTAACCACAGTGCAGCTGCGGCTTTGTCCCCACTCCCCCATGGGCTCATCCATCATGGCCTGAGCCCCAGGCTGTCACCCAGGCAGCCCCGCTCCCCAGGGAGCTGCTCTTTGGGGACATTGTTCCTGTGGTGTGACCCTCGGGCAGCTGAAGGCAGCAGGTCAGCTCTTGGCCAGGATCCCACTGCCCCCTCCCCAATCCCTTCCAGCTCCACGCACCCCCAGGGAATGTGGGGGGCAGGGGTCCCTGCAGACACAGCAGAGCATCCCTGGAGGAGATGGAGCATCCCTAGAGGAACAAACCCTGCACCAGGGACAGATGCATCCATGTGGGGCTGCTCCCACCATGATGCTAAAATGCAACGATTGCACCTTCCTCTGTGTGGGCATGAGGACAAAGCATCCCCCAGAGGCAGTAGGAGCCATGGGGGTGGCACAGTGCCTCCGGGGGGGGTGGGTTTCACCCAGGGCCGGGGGCTGCAGGAGCCTCATGCACTGCGTGGGAAAGGCAGAGTGCTGTGCTGCGCCCGACAGATTGATTTTCCTGATGAGGTTTCCCCGCACCACTTCACCAGCGGTGATGGAGGGGAGAGAGGGAGGAGGGGGCGAAGAGGGAGTGAAATCCAAGAAAGTGATAATTATACTGAAGTATTTGTTACATATCCCCTAACTTGGAAAATATTCTGCTCCAGCGACTCCTTGGCGGGTGGGGAGGGGTCAGGCAGAGGAGAACAGTGGGGGGGCCCCAGCCCTGCCCAAAACCTGGGACCCCCGTGGTGTCGCCATGCACAGATCCCAGCTGAAAACCTGCAGTGTTATGGGGGTGGGAAGTGGGGGACAAACCGAACCCCGCAGCCCAGGGCTGGGTTTTGGGGTACCACACTCCATCCCATTGGGTGCAACTGGGGTGTGGGATGCGGGGTGCTGGGGGAGGGGTGTCCATGCGAAGGGGGATAGTGCAGGGAGAGCCTGGGGGTGTGCAGCCCGGGGTTACCACTGCGGTGGGGAAACTGAGGCAGGCAGAAGAGAGCGAGGGGCTCAGGCTGCAGCTGAGGGGGGAATCCAAGCTGTGCCTCAGTTTCCCCACGAGAAAGCAGAATGGGGTGGGCTGTGAGACGTAGAGGTAGGGAGAAGCGGGGCCGGGGAGTCCTCCCGAACCCCGGGGCTCTACGTGCAATCCCCGACCCGCACTGCTGGAGGGATCCGGGGGGCGATGTGAACCGCATTCCCCCCGCTCCTCACCCATCCCGGGGCTCGCACTCACCCAACGCCTTCAGCAGCTCTTCGAAGTTCTCGGAGCTCTTCATCTTCCAATTCCCGGAGAAATTGGGCATCGCGGCGAGCGGGGGGCACCGGGGGATGGTGCTAAGGAGGAGCAGGTGGTGGAAACGCACCGAGGGGCACCGGCACCGCCGCTCCGTCCGCTCCGCCGGTACCGGCACCGCCGCTCTCCCGCCCCGCAGCCGCTCAATCGGGCTCCGGCCCCGCGCCGCCGTTTTATGGCCGGGCTCACCCGCTCCGCCCCCGCCCCGGCCCCGCTGCCGGCGGAGCTCCGCGCTCCTCTCACCTGTGGGGCCGAGCACCGGGACGGCCCCGGGGGGAAGTGCAGGCGGAGGCTGAGGGGTACGGGCACCCCTCCATTGTCCCCAAATCTTCCATCGTTCCCCCAAAACTTCCATCATTCCAGAAAACCTCAATCATTTCCAAAACTTGCAGCACCTCCCCAAACTTCCAGAACCTCTCAAAACTTCCCACGTGCCCCCAAACTGCCCCCATCTCCCCCCAAATTAGGTCCCTCCCAAACCACCTGCATCTCCCTAATCCCTGCATCCCCCCTATAACTCTCCACAATGGATTAATCAGCCCACTCAGCCCCAGTCTGCCCACACCTCCCTCATGTGTGGATCCCCCCAAACTACCCACATCCCCCCAAAGCTTCCCACATCCCCCAAAGCTTCCCACATCCCCCCCACATCCCTGTCATCCTCCAGCTGTCCGCATCTCCCCAATACTTCTCGCCTCACCCAATCAATCTCCATCCTCCCCGTCTCTCCACACCTCCCCAAGACTTCTCACACCCCCCAGTCTGCCTACAGCCCCTGAACAGCCCTGGGGATGGATTACTGCCCAGCCCTGTGCCCGCTAGGTGCTTTGCATGTGCTGGTGTGCACCAGGTGTGCACGGCTCTGTGCGCGCACACGCATGTGCGTGCAACGTGTTGTATGCACGCGTGCTTGCAGTGTTTGTGCACATGTGCAGCTGTGCTCAGCCCCACTCCATCCGAGCCCCATGTCCAGAACAGAACCCTCTGGTCTGTGCGGGACTGAGGGAAGTTTGCTTTGGCTGCAGGCCGGGGGAAAGCAAGATTAACGGCTAATGTGAGATTAAAGCCCTGATAGATTGGGTCTGCTCAGAGCGTGATGAATTGTTTGCTGGGGTTTCTCTCTGGTGAGATGCCTAAGGAAAGAGCTGCGTGGGGCACATTGTGCCATGGTGCCATCCCAGTGCTGCACAATAAATGATGTTTGGGTCATTGGCAACCCTGAAACGGAGGGAGACAGATTTTGGGGGTGAAAACAGACTTCTGTGCGGTGGTGGACACCCTCAGTCATGTCCATGCTGCCATTGTCCCCATTGTCTGCAGGAGAGCAGACTGCCCTACGGGTCCAAGATTTGGCACATTCGGGGTGCAGGGGGCACCCAACAGCTGGAGATCTCTGCACAGCCTGTGCGAACCAGCAGTAAAGCTGAGCTCATTGCTCATGGCTGGGGAAGTGCATTCCAGCTCCCTCCTGCCCATCGGGAGGATCCTGAAACCCCTCTTACTGAGAGCTGCCTCCCCTCCTCCTGGCCCCGGCTTCCTCGCCCCCAAATTTCTGGCCTGTGATTTTCGTGAGCCAAGCCCTGGCTTGCAGCATGCCTCTAATCCCCCGAAGAACAGGATTTGTAACAAAGGGCTGACATAACCTTACCTACAGCATTGCCGATGCTCTGTGGGCTGCAGCACGGGAAGCACGGGGAAAGGAACAAACCCCACACTGCACCCACTCATGCACCCCCAGGCAGAGCTGGAGGGGCCTGACAGGGGGTCACCACCATCCCTTTCATCCCTGTGTAACAGGATCTATGTCCCCTCTGGCACAGGGGGATGAGTGATGCTGAACGTTTACCCCCATATTTGGAGAAAGAGTGAAAAAATGCCACATTTCCAGGAGAACCGGCTGCAGGGGAGCACGGGTGGGGTGCTGGCAAAGCTGCAGACCCTCACACTGAGCCCCCAGGACGCAGCTGGGCAGAACCCCCAGGCAGCCCCACATCTGGAAGGAATTGAATGGGGAAGGGTGGATAAACCCTCTCCATTCCCCCCTTCCTGGCCCACGAAGCCCTGGCTCCAGCTGCAAACCCGCGTGGGGTTGCTTGTCCCAGGATGGCTGAGCAGAGACAGGGATTACACTGGAGCCACGGAGCTCCCACACCCGGCTGCACAGCTGGATAAGCCATTGGAAACAGCTGGCACTGCAATGCACCACAGCAATCCCAGCAAACTGCAGCCATCTGAGCACCACTGCAGCCCCCCAGTGCCCCCGTGCGTGTGGAGTGATTGCAACGCTGGCCCTGAGCCCCTCACAGGGAGCACAGTGGTGGCACAGCACCCATGGGACCCCGCAGTGGTCCCCACTGGAGCCCAGATCCCCACGCTGTGCCCCCCCCTGGGAGCTCCATTAAGCATCTGCTGACAAGATGGGGCCGGACTGCATGGTTCTCATTTCCAGACGTAAAAACTTTTTAACAGTCGGCCATTTATAACCCAGATTGTAAACTCCCACCCCATTTTAATTGCTTCCAAACGCAGCCAGACACAAAGACTCCCGGCCTCTCCAATGCCTCCTCACCTTCCTTTGTGCTTGGGGCCACAACAGCTCTGTGATGGACACACTGCATGAGGCACACGTGTGCGTGGCTGCTTGGTAACGTGCTGCCCACTCCTCTGCTCCCCCCAATGCATGGCTTGGGCATCCCTCATTGGCACAGTGGATAAAACCTCAGTGTTTAAACACAAAATGAACGGCTTCCCCTAGAATTCCCCGTCTTTGCTGTCTGGCCCTATCCTTTGCACCAGGGCCCCACTGTCCCCTCCTAGTGACCCAGACATCCCCAAACCCAGAGCAGATTTTTAACGAGTGTCTCTCGCTCAGCCGCTCCCGTCACGCAGCCAAACATCTGGAGGTTGGGAAGTGCTTTATTCCGGCCACGATTGTCGCTCCCACCCCTTATCCCTGCCTGGGACATGCTGAGAGCTGAGCATAACAGCATAAACACCCCAAAACACTGGAAAATGTGACGTGCATTCAGGCTCGTCTCGTTCAGCTACACATGGGGACGCACCGGCCAGGCTGGCTGCACTCCCAGGGTCTGCTCAGCACCGGCACCACTCCGGCAGCGCCCACCAGCTGGAGCTGTAGTGACGGAGGAGGTGCAGAGGGATTGCAGGCCTGGGCTGGGCATGTTGGTTTTGGCTGCCCCACTCCTCATGCAGGGAAGGGAGTGAGGGCCAAGGCTCTCTCCTGCTGCCACCCCAGCAGGACCCTGGGTGGGCAGAGCCCATGGCCAAGGGAAAAGCAGCAGTGGGGGCTCAAGGATAAGAAAGCTGGTTTCCAGCCCACTCTGCCCTGGGCACAGCACGTCCACCAGCTAGGGACAGTGCCAGTGTGTTGTTTTCATCCCGCTGTTAAGAAGAAGAGAGAGCACAACCTACCTTAAGCCCAGCAGCACTGGGATCATGACCCATTTTGCTCCCCAAGCCCCTCTGTTCCTCCACTCCCAGTCTCTCTCCATGACAGGGCTCAAATACAGATAAGGGGTACCCCAGCTGAGGACAGCTCTGTCCACACAGCCCAAAATAAGGCGAGGAACCTTGGGCTCTGCACACTGGTCCCAACACCGCTGGAATTTTGCAGAGCTCTTGCTCATACCTGGGCACGAAGAAGAGGCATAGGAAAGGTCAGCGCAAAGCAGCTGCTGGCAGGTGGTGGGTGACAGCTCACAGCAGTCACCCCAGGCACCAGGGGTGATGGAACTCTGCTCTGCACCAGGCATGGCTCCTCTCCCCTGTCTGTGCAGCCCTGACGCCAAAATGGGGTCACAAGAAACAATATGTAGAGGTGGGGGAGCAGCCCATGCCTGCAGTCCCTCTCAACCCATTTTGGGACTGACCTTGTCGAGTCCGGCGCCTGCTTCTTTGCAAGCCCTTCCCCGGCCTTCTCCTGAACTGCTTTGATTTCAAACAACATCAAGATTTCACGCAGAGCCTGCAAGCTGCAGATGTGGGAAGTGCCTCCTGCTTCCCCTGCTGCTGCATATATAGCCATGCTTGGCAATTTGGAACACAGGGGGACAGACACGGTCATCATATGCCCCACGGGTGCAGGCTGCACCGCTTCCTGTGCATCCGGGGCTAAGCACCTTCCCCAGGGCCCTGCAGCCAAAAGGAAGTGCTTGTTAATCATTTCTTTTTAATGAACATTTTGAACATTAACATTTCACTTCAAAGCAGCTCCGCGGTGGGCTGACCAGAGCAGACCGAGAACTCGGGGCACGTTCAAGAATTCAGCAAACAAATACATGTCGGTGTTCAGAGGTGTCTGTAAAGGACACAGCGTCCCCGGTGGCAGAGACAGACAGATGGGGACAGCGGTCCCGCCCCAGCCCCCGCAGCAGCACTTACGCAAAGAGGAAGACAGCACTCAAATCCCGCGGGGGAGCAGCTCCCAGGTGTGTGGGGACTTCCCAGCTGGCAGGACCTGCCTCAGCCCGCTTGTGTCCCGGAGCCCTGTGGCAGTCGTGGCCCCTGCTGGTCCTCGTCAGAGGTAGTTGTGAAACACGGGAGGCAACTGGCCTGAGGGCATGAAGGATTGCTCCCTGGGTCTGGATCTGTGCTCAGGATGAGCCTAACTGCTGTGGCTCCAGTGCCGTACCCAGAGCTATCTCTGTCCCCTCTCTGCCCACAGCTGGGCAGAACGCATCCACAAGGGTCCCCCAGCTGCCCTCCTAGGAACTCTCTTCCTGGTACAGCCAGGCGTGGGCACCACAACATCACTGGGGTCCCACAGGGCTCTGACAGCCCAGAACTGCTCTGGCACTGCATTCACCCCCAGAAGGCACAGGTGGCCCCTGCTCTCCCCACATCTCTGGTGGGGTACAGAGCACAGTATAACAAAGGCACATGCAATGCTCAGAGTAGGGAGAAAGAACAGTCATAACTTGATAATGCTACTATCCCCACTACCAGTGAGCGAGAGTGCACCACAGCACTTGCTGCCTCTGCTCCATCCTATTCTTCCTCCCACTGGCTCAAGGCTCTGTGACCCATGAGGTCTGACTGTGAGGGCAGTCACTCCTGCTCAGAGTTCAGCATCAAGTGTTGCTCCCACTCTGCCTCCACGATCTTGTACAGCTCCATGGTAGTCCTGGCATCCTCCACTGAACAATGTCCGTTCTTGCCAACCTGTTGGGGACAGTGACAAAGAGTTGGAACAGCCCAGGGCACTGCTGAGAAAGAAAAAGCCACAATGATGTTCTCAGCTGCTGGCTCTGCAGCTGAACTGCTCTTGCAAGAGGTCTTTCAGGGAAGAGACCGAGGTACAAGGCAGTGACTGACCTTGGGATTCCCCAGCCCCAGGATGGGAAATAACACACCTCTGTTTCCTACCCGAGCACAGACTGCAAACAAGCAGGGCAAACCTCCCTGCTCTTGCGCACTCCCCACAACCCCTTCACACTGCCTGTTTGTCCCCTATGCTCCTTAGGGACACTGGGGAATTTCTTGCCCCAGAAGTGGCTTTGCAGCAGCCTCAGACCTGGATATCTTTGTGCAGCAGTTCCTTAGCGAAGCGCTTCAGGGAGACGGCGGTATTCTCGGGGAGCCCAACCTTTTGGTTCAACAAGGGGATTTTGGATGTGTCACGGGTGAGTGCTTTGGGGTGGAAGTACTTGAGAGCCCTGAAGTCGTTGCATATGGCATGGCCAACCACCACCTTTCCGGAGAGGATCTTCAGGATCTGTGGAGAGAAGGAGGGAGCATTAGAGCAGGCACCAGTGCACCATGCTGCCCATGGGAGCATCCTGCCCCACAGCAGAGTGGTGGTCGTGCCCAGGAGCATGGGTCTACCCCGCTACCAGCGGGAATCACAGCTTAGGGCTATGATGTAGGACTGAATGTGAGCAGCAGAGGCGTGGGGTGACGTCCCCTCTGCTGCAGGATGGGAACTGGGATGTGGGCAGTCCACCACCAACATGCCGTGTTCTCAGCAGTCCCCCACCCACTACAGACAGCCCTCGAAGCCCACCAGGATCACAGTCCCCCTTCCCTGCCCCGTGGCCACACCACCCCCAACATCACACCTCCCGCTGGGCCTTGCAGAAGGGGACAGCGTTGAGCATGTGCTTCTTGCAGATGCCGCTCCAGCGGCTGCGATAGTCCACGATGGGCTCTGTGGGCCGCACGTAGCAGTCGTACAGCACGTCGCCCTCATAGCTCACAATGCTACAGCGGGCCAAGGCGCTGATTTGCCCACGAGGCCCGGTGCCCACCATCTCACAGTCGATAGCCACGAACTTGCTGGGCGCTGGGGGCAGCCCGGAGGCTCGCACCGGGCCCTTAGCGGCTTTTTTTGCTCCCTGCGTCCCTTTGGTGCCCGTTTCTTGCGTGATGCTGCGGGCTGAGGGCTCCCTGCCGCCGGAGGACCCGGGGGGATCTTTCCCTTCGTGCTCTTTCCGCTCCCCGCCGGCCGCTTTCAGCTTCCTCTTCCTGCCGCGCTTCTTCGGGCGGCCTCCTCCGGGCTGCGGGGCCGCCAGGCGCTCCTTCTGCCTGAGCGCACGTTTCCGCTCCAAATGCCGTCGCCTCAAGAAGTTCTTATGCTTACGGTTCCCGGCCGGGACGCGACGGGCGGGCTCGACGACCCCGAAGGTGACGTTGAGGATGAGGTCCGACATGCTGAAGCCGGCAGCGCCCAACGCGCCCCCCACCAACGGAAGCGGAAACTGCCGGCAACGGAAGCGCGCCTGCAACTTTGCGCACGCGCGCCGCCCGCACGCAGCCCGTGCGCCTGCGCAGTGGAGTGATGGCAGAACTGCGCACGCTCTCTGGGCGCCCAGCGGGCGGTTACGCATGCGCGGCGGCGCGGCGGGAACGCGGAGGGGCCGGGCGGTGAGTGGCGCATGGGGCCGCTCTGGCCTGCGGGAGGGGCGTCTCTATGGCCCAGGAGTACCTGGGTGGGGGGTCTGGCTTATCTCGTGACATCGCGACCCTGTTATGTCACGAATCTGTGATGTCACGGGTGCAGGTAAAGAGCTGTGGCTATGGATGGTGTCGCAGCCCTGTGGCGTGGCACTGAATGATGTTGTGGCTCTGCGAGGTCATGGACAGGCAGGGGGTTGGCATCCCTGGGTGATGTCATGGCCCCAGAGGAGGGGTCTCTGAGTGACATCACACCTTCAGGTGACATCACAGCGTGACATCACGGCCATGGCAGGTGCCCCCCGCCCCTCCCTGCACTGGGAGCAGCAGCGAGCTGCAAACATCGTCCGCCTCCTATCGCTGTACCGACCCCTCCTCGACTCCTACATCATTGTGAGTGTCCTCAGCATGTCCTCCACGTCCCCAGTGTGTTCCCAGCCCCATGTCCAGCAACTCTCACTCCCCACAGGACTTCTTCACTGAGGGGCTGTGGGCAAAGCTCCCACCAGCCTGGCAGGCAGCCCTAGAAGTGGCAGACCCCCCGCAGCTGGCAGCCATGCTGTTGGGGACTGGGGGCATGGTGGGACAGGGCGCAGTGTGGCCACTCTCCCTGCTGGCCTTCACCACTGCTGTCCATGCTCTCTCCTTCCCCCGGGGGCAGCTGGGGGGGGCCTCACGCCCACCCTGCCAAAGCCCCCACTTACACCCACTTCTGCGCCGCCACGTCAAGCCCAAGAAGCAGCATGAGATCTGGCGCCTGGGCAAGGTGGGTGACCCAGTTCTCCCCCCTGGTGTCACCTCACAGCTTCCCTGTCAAGCCACGGTCCCCTCTCCCCACAGGTACTGCAGCGGCTGAGCCAGGCCACCGGCTGTGAACGTGTGGTGGACGTGGGTGCAGGGCAGGTAGGAAGGGGCTGCTGTGAGGTGATCCTCAGGGATGTCTCCTGCACAAGCATGTCTCCTTATCCTACTGTCCCCCCCCAGGGCCACCTCACGCGTTTCCTGGCCTTCAGTCTTGGCTTGTCTGTCACTGCTGTGGAGGGTGATGGCCGCCTGGTCAGCCTGGCAGAGCACTTTGACCAGGAGCTGCTGCGGGAGCTGGGGAAAGCCCAGGCACGGGCTGACAGTAGGAGGCTGCCACACTCCCAGCATCACCCAAACACAGACCCTACAGATCCTGCATCCCTTTGTCCCCGATGCCCTCAACACGTGGCTGGCTGGCTGGACCCGCAGGCACCTGGGCAAGAGTTCCTGCTGGCCCCCACTCCAGGGCCAGCCCTCGCCGCCAGGAACCCACTGGCATGGCCTGTGGATAGTGAGCAGGTACTGCTGACAGGGCTTCACGCCTGTGGGGACCTCAGCGTGGCCCTCTTGCGTCACTTCGTCTGCAGCCCCCAGGTGGCTGCTGTCACTTCAGCAGCTTGCTGTTATATGAAGCTCTCCACGTGCCCTGAGCCAACTGCTTCCAGCCTTCCGGGCTACCCACTGAGCGCCTGGGTGGCTGGGCTGCCAGGTCACACGCTGTCCTACCGGGCTCGTGAGGCTGCATGCCATGCAGTGGAGGAGTACACAGAGCGGCTGCGCAGGGACAGCGAATGCTTGCGCATTCACTGCTACCGTGCTGTGCTGGAGACCCTCATCCAGGCAGCTGATCCCAGCAAAAAGCATCTGGGAGTGCAGACAGTGAAGAAAGCCCACACACTCAGTTTCCCCGAGTACGTATGGGGTCGCTTACCCTTCGATCCCCTCTTGGCATCCTCCGTGGGCACTTGTGGGACCGGCATGGCTTTATCCCACAGGTACGCCCGTTTGGGGCTGACCCTTGTGGGGCTGGACTCAGCTGCTGTGCCTCTGGATTCAGAGTCGGTGTGCGCCATGCTGTGTCAGCAGCACAAGGTGGTTGCCTTCTTCAGCCTGGTGCTGCTGTTGGCCCCACTGGTGGAGACCCTCATCCTGCTTGATCGCATACTGTACCTGCGGGAGCAAGGTGGGTGCTGGCGGGGTAGGGAGCTGTGGGAAGCTGCAGGTGCCAACCATTCCTTTGTCCACAGGTTTCCAGTGTGCCCTCGTGCCCCTCTTCAACCCCCGGTTCTCCCCACGCAACCTGGTGCTGGTGGCCGCACGGGTGCCACTGGATGCAGTGCTGTCAGGCCTGGACAAGGACATCCACGAGGACGAAGACATGGTGAGGGGTGGAGGCGGGCAGGGGCAGGGCTGAGCCCAGTTGCTGGCTGTGAGGCACGAGCTACAATAAAACCTGGTTTTACATGGTGCAAGGCTTGGACTGAGTGAGCAGGAGGGGAGGGGGCACACCAGGATAGTCTGCATGACCCAGAGCTACCTAAAAGCACCACAGCCATGAAAAATAAAAGGGTATCTTTATTGCAAGCTGCTGCCATTGGAGCACAGAACACAGCTTCAGGCCAGGTTTCATGTAGGATTTAGTACCAGTAGGACTTCTTGGCCCTGCGTGTCTCCACAATCCCCATGGCATCCATGATCTCCTCCTCAAAGGTCTTCAGGGATGGCGTGTAGGTTTTGTCCAGCGCGTCATCCACCGATGTGTCCTTGGGGCCATCTGCGGGTGGAGGGGACGGCGCTGAGCCTCCAAGCACCTTCTGGATGCTGCAGCTCACAGCCATCCCCCATCCCCTCACCGATCCACTGCTCAGGAACGATGCCGTCCCGTCGCTGTCGCAGTGGGAGGGGGATGATACGGCCGGTGCGTAGCGAGACACGGACACGCTCACCTTCCTCCGTGTACCGCCAGTCTACCTCTGTGGGCTTCCTGGTGGGCACAGGGTGTGAGAGGGTCAGCACTGAAGCCAGCAGAGGGCTCCCCAGCTCCCCGTGCGAATTACCGGTCCTCGGGGTCCACCAAGGAGATCTGGTTGAGCAGCAGCGGAGCCTCGCTAGCAATGTAGGTGCTGCTGTACTTGGCATTCCTATTGATATAGCGGTAATGCTGCGGGACAGGGCAGGGTTACGGCTGCTCTGCGCCCATTGGGATGAATCTGGGGTCACCTCCACGCTCGAGACTCACCGTGTTCAGCCCTTCCACCACCACCCAGTTACGGGCGCGTACAACCTGGGTCACCATCGCCTGCTTCCCCGCGTCCTTCCCGGTCAGCACCTGGACCTGCGCGGGGTTGGGGGGGGGGAAGAGGGGAGGTGCGGGTTCAGCGGGGCTTCCCCCATCCACCAACCCCGCGGTTTGCGCCGTGTGCTCACCGTGTCACCGCGGAACACCTTCCAATCCTCCCTGCTGATGGGTTCCACGAAGATCTTCTTGCGGCGAAGCCCCGGGGGGTTCCGGAGGCGTTCGGCTGCGGTGCCGGGCCGCCAGGTGCCGTGCCGGTAACCTTTGGGCAGCTTAGGCCGGGCTGCCAGGCTCAGAAGAGCCGATAGGCGCATGGTGCCGGGGCTGGGGGCGCCGGACGGGGGTCGGGGTCAAACCCGCCGCGCTGCCCCCCCCCTCCGTCCGTCCGCCCGTCCCTCCAACCCGGGGCTGCCCGCACCGGAAGTTGCGCCTCTCTCCCCGCCTCTGGCGCGGTGCATCCCGGGAGCGACCGCGATTGGGCGGAGCAATCACGTGGGGAGCCCGCGCGGAGCACGCTGGGAGCTGTAGTTCCAGCTGCCTCCCACGGCCCCCATTGCCCCATAATAGGTCCCGTACAGAGGGGCTCGAGTGGAGCAGCAGTGGGCAGGACGGCTGCGAGCCCAGCTCCGTCTGTGATGCGGGAGCCTGGCCAGGGCTCCATTTTCTACTACAGCTCCAGCCCCACGGCTCCCCGGGAGTCAGGGCAGCAGCCCAGGGCTCCCATTGCCTCCCTTCAGTTTTTCCCCTCTTCCAACTGTTTCTCAGTTCACTTCCATTCCCATCTGCGTTTCCTTCAGGACTTCTTCTGGCCCCAAGAACACAAAATGACCCAAAAGGGCCTATGGCAGGAAGGGGCCGACGCTCCCAGAGGGAAATGCAAGCAGAAGCACTTTAAAAAGGCATGAATCGCTTTTATTTCAAATCAACTGATCAGCCCCCTAGAAATCACTAATACAAAGCATGCGCCCCACGACAGCAGGGCCAGGAGATGCGGGTCGGTTCAGGGGTTCTCATTACTGGGTTTCTCTTCATTTCTCTCTCTTTTTTTTTTTTTTAAATTTCATTTTCTGTTTGTTTCTCGTTTCCAGAGCCGTGGACGTGACGAGGCGACGAGGGCAAGATGGGGCAACACCCTGGGAGCCCAGCAGGGATGGGACAGCAGGAGATCAGCTCGACAGGGAGGCCACTACAGGCTGCAATGGTCAAGAAGAGACGTGGTGATGGACCCCACGGCACCAGGACCCCCACCCTGCTGCCGGGGTTGCTCCCCAGTGCCCACGTGGGTAGAAGGGAGCCTGCATTTTGGGGACTGGGATCTCTGTGTTCACTGCCCTCACCTCTCCTTGTGGTCTCTGACCTCCTCCGCCTTATCCTTGCCCTCCTGCTTGGCTTCATTGGCGTCTGGCACGCTGGCAGCATCGCTGTTCTTCTCCTTCTCCCCTTCGGCTGGGTTGGGCTTCGGCTCCTCTTTGGGGGCCTCTTCGTTGTCTATCTTCTTCTCTGCTTCCTGCCCCTCCATCTCCTTGGTGCGCTTGGGGGAGTCCTGGGCAGGGAGAGATAGGCTCAGCCCAGCCCCAGTGCCCCCTGACCACGTCTCCTTCCCCTTCCTACCTCCAAAGCATCTTCTGCTTTCCTCTTGATCCCGGCTTTTTCGTTCTTCTCCTTGGATTGCTCGTCGATCACTAGCTTCCCCTCCTCATCGCTGCTGCCCTCTGCGTTGCCCTTCTTCTCCCCATCACCCTCTGGCTCCTGCTCTGGCTCAGCGTCCTCAGGGCAGGTCTTCTTCTGGGTGGGCTGGGAATGGACACGGGGGGCTTAGGAGGGTGGGACAGGACACCCAGAGAGCAGGGCAGGAGGTGGCCACAGAGGGATGTCACCCACCTGGTACCCGGAGGCTTTGACAGTTGGGTTGTGCTCGATCTCCCACAAACCTTCGCTGAACCCTTTCCTTTTGTTGGGTTTCCCAAACTTCTCCTTGCATTCTTCATAGGGGAAGAGGTCTTTGGGCCCCAGGAATGCCCTGCTCAGTGGGAAGCAATGAGTAACAGCAGCTGGGGAGGGCCTCATTGGCATCACGGCACCCACAGAGACCCAGACCACAGAGAGTGGGTCCCATCTATGACCCCACTGACCCCATCCCCCACATGCACCACGGCTCCACTCACGTTTCATGGGTCCCGAAGAAGAAGACTTGGTATTTGTTGGAGGAGGATTTTACTGCAGCTTCTGGCATCTCGTCAATCTGCATGACATGGAGAAAGGGGTGAGGGCTGGGGAGGGCACGGTGACGGGACATCACCCACTGATTAGAACACGGGTATATGGGGGCCATTGTGTGCCACCTCTGGGCCTTATTTCTCACGAATTCACCCACCAGCCAGCAACACCAGGGGCAAAAACACGAGGGTTATGGCAGCCCTGGGCTGGACAGGCACCCCACTGCACCTGGATCCAGCCAGGGCATCACAGCCTGATGTGAAGCTGCATCCCTGTGGCAGCACTGTGGGCACCGGAGGGGACAGCGAGAAGCGGTCGCTGTAAGCTCTTGTCTAGACTGGCTCAGACACATTTAGCTCAGCAAAATCGTGGCTGCACGCAGGAGGAACAGCTCCAACCCAGCTCTTGTGGCAGCGGCCAAAACACCCCAGCTTGCCTGGAGCTCTGTGAGCCCCCAACTCGGCGAGCAGCCAGCACGGCCCCGCCAGCAGGTGCCAATTCACCAAGCGTGAATATTCCCAGTGCACCACGCGGGAGCAGAGCGCAAAGTGGCTCTGGCAGCTTTTTATAGAGTCTAAAAATAACCCCAGCTTGAGCCAGCACGAGCGCAGCCATAAATTCCCAAGGAAGCTTCAAAGGGAGGTGGAAGGAGAGAAGTAGGGTGGGGGGTCTCGAGGTGGAGAAGGGTGGCAGGGTGAGATTGCTGGCTCCAGTGCTGCATCCTGCTGACAGCGTGCTGCTGACTCATGGCACGACCTTTGCCAAACATCAGTGCTGAGCCTCAGTTTCCCCAGGTGCCACTGGTGGTGTGGGGCTCCCGCAGGGCTGCCAGTGGGTTTTTTTTGTTTCCTTCCTCCTGGCACATCTCAGATGTGGCCCTGGAGCAACTTGCAGCACTCAATGCCAAAGCTGGCAGAGGGGGTTCTGCTGGAAATATCCTGAGAAGTCCAAAAGCTGAGGCACAGGGCTGCACCGGGTGACGGTGCTGGCACAGCCCTGGACTGGGGTTGCCCAGGAGGGATGGGATGTCTCCAACCAGCACCCCTGGCCCCAAGGACACACTCCACGTGTGGGAGCCCTCTGAGGGTCACATTGTTCCCAGCTCCGTTTTACAAACGCAGCAGAGGAATTGGGGCAGAGATGGAGCGAGCAGCTCCTGACAGTGCAGAGGAGCTTGGCCTCACACCATGGTGCTGGACCCCCGCCCACAGTGCTGATGGAGCGGAGGAGAAAATCTGATTCAGAGGGCAGCTGGCCAGTCTGCCCAGCCCCATGCTGCAGGACACTCAGACACAGATCATGTTTCCACAGGTTTCTCCTCAACAGTGGCACCAAAGGCCCCCATCAGCCCCAAGGGGAGTCGGTCCAGGTGAGGACACTCTATTCCCCACTCCTGTGGAAGTATCCTGGCTGTGCCACCCCAGTGGCTTCAACTTTTCCCATGCAAAAGGGCCCTTTACAGGTTTACTTCACCCTGCTGAGGATAACATGGTACAGACACAGCCCTGGCACAGCCACAATGCAAGTGGGACCAGATATTTTTAAAACCTCCATCCCTGAGGAGAGGCTGTGCACGTGGTGCTGCACATGGTGGCTCAACCCCCAGTGTCCACCCTGTGGGACATCCCCTAGCAGGGACAGGGACCCTATTGTCCCAGAGCCTTCTGGTGCACAGTGCCACATCCCTGTACCAGGATCCGTCCTTGGCCAAGGTCGTGGCTGGGCAAAGCAGCACAATGCAGCCCATAGCAGGGACCCCGTGGATTTCTGGTAACTGTGTGGGTCACCAGAAAGGGCGTGGATTCACATCGTGGGTGGGACCCAACGGGTGGCAGCCTCTTATCTGCCTTTTTTCACCCAACCCTCCCAGAACATCTCTACTCACAGCAGCGGGTGGGGAAGAAGCAGGGGCAGGGAGATAAGGGGATGTCGTCAAGATAGCCAGACTGGGTGCCAACAGCACAGCAGGGTGCTGGGGCTGTTGGGAAACCCTTCACCATTTGGAGCC